GATGTCACTGAGGAGAGTGTACAGACAGAGTCAGCTGAGGAGAGTGTACAGACAGAGTCAGCTGAGGAGAGTGTACAGACAGATGTCATCTGAGGAGAGTGTACAGACGGATGTCAGCTGGGGAGAGTGTACAGATGTCATCTGAGGAGAGTGTACAGACAGAAGTCAGCTGAGGAGAGTGTACAGACAGAAGTCAGCTGAGGAGAGTGTACAGACAGATGTCAGCTGAGGAGAGTGTACAGACAGATGTCATCTGAGGAGAGTGTACAGACAGATGTCAGCTGAGGAGAGTGTACAGACAGAAGTCAGCTGAGGAGAGTGTACAGACAGATGTCAGCTGAGGAGAGTGTACAGACAGAAGTCAGCTGAGGAGAGTGTACAGACAGATGTCATCTGAGGAGAGTGTACAGACAGATGTCAGCTGAGGAGAGTGTACAGACAGATGTCATCTGAGGAGAGTGTACAGACAGATGTCAGCTGAGGAGAGTGTGCAGACAGATGTCATCTGAGGAGAGTGTACAGACGTCAGCTGAGGAGAGTGTACAGACAGATGTCAGCTGAAGCGCTCACACCATGGAGAAGCATCCAGTAACACAGAGAGAGAGACAGGATCTCATACAAGAACGGATGAACACAAAACCATTGCTCTAGGGAAAATCCAGTTAGGGAGAATTGTAGATGTTTTACCATTTCACTTAGAGAAACAAGAGCGGGACAGTAGCTGAGACACCAGCTACATCAGGACAGGGGTGCAGCTAGTGGACATTTAGGGCAATGAAATGTCTAATATTGGAATTCAGTAACAGTTACCCAACCCTATAAATATAATTACACATACTAAGCAGTTCAACTTGATAGTATACAAATTATATATCATTAAAATGGTTTATAAAACATCACAAAATACATTATTATACCCATTTCAATGGACACGCCCCTTTTCAGATCAAAACTTTAGATGACTGTCTGGGCCAGATGACCTTGATTTCTTCTAAAGGTTGCTGGCTGCCACCCCAGTGTTTACTTTGAACATTTTTAAAACCACTAAACAGAGATCTACCTTAATAGGAATTTTCTATATTCAGCTACTGCCATCACACACACAAGACAACACACACACACACACACATACACACACACACACACACATGATAAATAAACGTAAAAAATGTAAAAGAATATCACTATAATTTTAGAAACATGTTTTTTCTTTCAAAATCAATTTTCAGCTTAAGTTCCTGGATGGCCAATGTTGTCAACTTGACAGAATCTAGAATCACCCAGAGAAAGCTTCTGGGCAGGCCTGTTCACAGGGGTTTCCAGCTTGTGTTAATCAGAGCATGAAGATTCATTCTTAATGAAGACAGCTCTACCCTGGGCTGGCCATGAGCTGGAGGAAAAGCAGGCAGGGAGCTGAGCAAAGCATTCTTCTCTCTGCTTCCTGACTGTAGACTGCTCTTCCTCCGGCCTGCCTACGCCTTCACGGCCACATGGACTGTGTACCCTCAGACTGTAAGCCACAATAAGCCTGCTCTCCTCATGCTGCTTTTATCCAGCATTATGACTCAGCAACAAGAGAATTAATATGACAACTCTGTTTTTAATTTCTGAAAAGCCTCCACAGTACTTCCCATAATGGCTGTACCCGGGGATCCAGGGGCTGTCTCTGCCTCCCAGCACTGGGATTACAAAAGCACACCATCACACTGTGTTGTCTTCCTATACATACGTTTTGCTTCTTCCTATGAAAGCTATCTGAGGATTTCCAGACCTTACAGTTCAGAGGTCACTCTTCAGTTTTAGGAATTATTTACTCTCAAAAATGACCCAGCACTAACCTTAGTTTGAATTTGCTCTTTCCTCTGAATTGAAATAAGCTTATTGTGCTCACCAAGATGGCCTGAGGACCTAGGTTAATTCCCAGGACCCACATCAGTGAGAACTGATTCCCAAAAGTCCTCTGACCTCCACATGAGTGTCACAGGGTTTGACCACCCCATTCGTAAACAAATAAATAAAACTCTTAGTTTTGATTTTTGAGACAGGGTTTCTCTGTGTAGCCTTGGCTGTCCTGGAACTTAACTGTGTAGACCAGGCTGGCCTTGAAATCACAGAGATCCACCTGCTTCTGCCTCCCAAGTGCTGGGATTAAAGGCGGTATAACCACTATGCCCGGTTTATTTCCTCTTTCTCTTAACATCACCTCTAAGTCAACCACAGTGGTCCTAAGTGTATGGACTTAGGCTGGGAACAAGTACAGTGCCTTAGCACTAGCCTGGCATGCCCAAGGCCCTGCGTTCACCACCAGAAAACAAAACACAGCTAGACAGAGCTACTGGTCCCCTGGGGTCTCTGGTAACTAAACTCATTAGGAGGGCTTTTGTGGAATGAACACATTTTCACTCCTCAGCCGTCATAGGGACATGACCTTCCTGACACATATCACTGGTTGCCAATGTGGTTTTCCACCATGGCTAACCTTCACAACCAACCCCGGCCTCCTTGCAAGCCTGGGGTTTTCTAGCAATAGCTCTCAACTTGGACCCTGCTTAAAACATTTCCAGCAGATCTTTTTTTTGGGGGGGGATGTTTCGAGACAGGGTTTCTCTGTGGCTCTGGAGGCTGTCCTGGAACTCGCTCTTGCAGACCAGGCTGGTCTCGAACTCACAGAGATCCGCCTGCCTCTGCCTCCCGAGTGCCGGGATTAAAGGCGTGAACCACCAACGCCCGGTCTTTCCACATTTCTTGTCATACACTGCGTCTTCCAAGACTTGCTCTTTCATTCTGAGTATTCTCGGTACATATTTCTAAAGGTTTTATTTACATATATGTGTGTTTCTCCTGTGTGGCTATATATAATACATGTTATGTGGGTGCCAGAAAAGGGCATCCTTGACCTGGAACTGGAGCTACAGGTGGTTGTGAGTATCCGATGTGGGTGCTGGGAACTGAATCCAGGGCCTCCACAAAAACAGTGTGTGTTCTTAACCACTGAGCCATCTCTCCAGCCCCAGTAATTTCCTTCTTAACACACCCACACTCCTGTAAATAGCTCCTCTGATTACTGAGGACTCTTGCCTGTGTTCAGGCCTATACTGACTGAGGTATCAGACGCCAAGGGAGCATCTCAGGAGTGGATGACTGAAAACTGGTTCTCTTGCGTGGCCTCAGAAGCTCAGCTACAGAATGACAGTGGCCAAAGCCTGCTCACCTCATGCCTTCACAGTGGCCAGAGCTGTTGTCCAGAGGTGAACTCAACTGGGCAATTGCTCTGGGTCTCTTCTCACCTATCAAGTGAGGGAGAGGGTTGAGTGACAAGAGCTGAGATCCTCCCAAAGCTGACAGGTACGCTTTTCTAAGTACGTAGTTAAGAAGGAAAATTTATTAGGCACCCAAACAAGCCCCGACACTAATCTGCAGCACCCATGGGTGCCTTTATATCCATCAACACACACTACCGTTTACACATAATAAGCCATCCTGAGCAACTAGAAAAACAGGACAGAAGGAGACTATTGGTTCTAAGAGTTTAGGAGACACGGCCAAAGTGACTAGATGACAACACCAGTGAAATGTAGACTAGAAAGTCATCAAAATTACAATTACGCCGGTTGTGGTGGCACACGCGGGTAGGATTTGCTGAAGGAGGCAGAGGCAGGAGCATCACGAGTTCGAGGCCAGCCTGGGCTACACATTTTTTAAAAAGGCCGGGCGTTGGTGGCACATGCCTTTAATCCCTTGGTGGCACATGCCTTTAATCCTAGCACTCCGGAAGCAGAGGCAGGTGGATCTCTGTGAGTTCGAGGCCAGTCTGGTCTACAGAGCGAGTTCCAGGACAGCCTCCAAAACAAAACAGAGAAACCCTGTCTCGAAAAAAAATTTACCTAAAAATTTACCTAGAGAGATGTGAAAATTTCAGGGCAAGACAGACAGACAGACAGACAGCCAACTAACCAAAACACGATTTACCATTTCCTGCATCAGAAAGTTTCAACACAAATTGATCATGTTCCACAACGTCTTCCCATTGACTGTGTTATTTTGTCTGATTTGTTTGTTTCTGTTTATATCTCTGTCTCCAGTCCCCAGCTTCCTAGCTATCTAGTTTTTAGCCCCAGCAAACCCCTGAAGAGCCTCTTCCTCCTGGGTGGGGCAGATGCCACTTAAGTTCACTAAAGTATCCGACTGATAGTAAACAGGCTCAGTAATGAGTCTCTAGTCATTAAGGTTTAGCTGAATTGAACACGCTTTGGCTCCCTCCCCAGTGGTGCTCTCTGGGCTCCACCCAAGCGCTTAGGGAGTGGCAGGCACTCTCTCCGGCTACCTTCACCCGGTGGTGGTGGAGGAGGGCAGGAGTCCTTTTGGCTTCGCAGAGATGGATTGCACGGGCTGCTTATGAGGAGCCCAAGTTGGTTGTGTTTGCGTTTTCTAGAAAGGTGAGAACTCGCCTGGGAACATGGCCAGGACTCCGTGGAACGGGGCCACAATGGCAACCGCTGGGATAACGGACTCCAGGGGCTCCAGGATGAGCAGGGCACCCGGCCTTCCCAGCATCAGCTCAGCAGGTGGAGGACCCAAAGGACTCCAAGTGGCGTCTCCCTCCACCCAGGGCTCATCTCTGTCCCCGAGCCTGGCAAAGCCCACCCTGAAGTCTAGCTTGCTGCACCTTCACCCTGGAACTCAACCTCTAGCCTCACCTGGCCGCATCCAGCCGAACCTTCAAGTCTCAGGATAGGGTGTGGCCCGGGCATCCGGACCCGATTCCTTACCTCGACCCCACGGTCCACGCACCTGTCCTGCGGGCTTGTGTCCGGCAGCAGCAGGAGCAGCTCAGGGGTCCGACTGGCCGCTATTAGGTCCCCGGCGTCTCCCCAGACGGACCCTGCCGGCAGCCGCCCAGCAGCCACTGCTAACTGAGCATGCGCGAGCGGCCGCCGGAGGATGCTGCGGCCGCCCGGGTACGCGAGCCACGGGCTCAACGGCCGCTCGGGACCCAGCGACCGCGCGGTGACCCAGGGGATGCAGTGCTCCCAACGCCGGTAGCTCTCTGGAGCGCAGACTGCCCGCTCTGCAGACTGCCCGGTTCCACGTGTCGCGCCTTAATTGGTTCCTGGATGGATGGGATGGGATGGATGGACGGACCTAAGTTAGTTTAGTTTTCTTTTTGTTTCCTTTCTTTTTTTTTCTTTGTGGTTGTTTTGTTCTATGACGGGGAAGGTGGGGGAGGCTATCTAGTCCAGTCTGGCCTCAAACTAGTTGTGTAGCCAACGAGGACCTTAAATTTCTAATCCTCTTTACTTTCTGACCTTTGGACCACCATACTGTTAATGCTGGAGTGTGCTAGGCAAACTCTGTATCAGATCACATTCCTTGTTCCCCGAATTTTGGCTCAATCGCAGATTTTAGAAGATTGTCGAGATAGGCGTGCCAAACTTCATATGGTAGATATTTTTCTATATCTCTTTAACAGCTAAATGCTCATGATTACCAGTCAGGAAGCTTCCTATTTCACACGTAACATGTTAAATGTTAACATTATGAATAAAACTATATATTTTTCGCTCTGGCAATATTAAAAATTTTCCAAAGACACATAATTGGCTTTATTAATCTTGAACACTCCTTGAAGGTGTTATCTGATTTCTTTCCCCTCTGTGTGTTGTTTGTCTCCAGTATTAGCTTGTGTGACCAACTTTGAGTCTGTGTGAATGTCCGGTTTTCTGTCCATCTGTGCTCATTCTGTCTCCTTGACTTAGAATGTGTCAATCAGTTTTGCTTGAGTCAGTCAATTTTACTATGGTTTCAATACAGTAATTTTAACCTATTTTCATCCTTTATTAGGCGCAAGCAACAATATATTTTTAAAACTGTATACATCTCTACCCATGAATCCATTCTATCTAAGCATAAGTGCATAGATTCTGTGTCTTATTTAATCACTAGGCTCAGTTACTGCAGTAACCAGTTGCCCTAGGTTTAACTGAAGGGGGTGTCTTCAAGTCACTTCTGCTTCTCTTTGGACATCATCCTATCTTTTTTTTGTTTGTTTGTTTTTTGTTTTTTGTTTTAGGAGACAGGGTTTCTCTGTATTGTTTTGGAGGCTGTAGGTCCAGCCCGGCCTCCAACTCACAGAGATCTGCCTGCCTCTGCCTCCCGAGCGCTGGCATTAAAGGCTTGTGTCATCACTGCCCTGCAATCCTATCATTTTTTAATTGGTTCTTTGGAGTATGTTTTGTACACAATTTGCTGACTCTGGGGATATGCAAACACCCAAGGAACACAACAAACAAAGGAGCTTGTCACTTCCAAAAGCTTTCTTGACCACATCCCTAGCAACCACAGAGTTCCTGTGGAATCTGATAGAAATAGAACTTAAACACCACCCACCCCCTACCCCCCACCCTTACCCCCCACCCCACCCCCGCTTCCCACTCCCCACCAGCCAGCATAACTGAGATGCATCTGGGTGTTTGTACCTCCTTACTGCTGTACTTACTGATGTTCAGCTGTTTTCAAATCTGCTTTTAAATGGATATTTGAATAGCTTCCAATTTAGAACTGTTGTGAATACTGTAGTGTTCCTAGACAAGTCTCCTCCTCAGTGGCTATGAGCAGAATAGGCGAGATGCTGGGCCTCTGTTTAGGAAGGTGCTTAGCTGCTTGTTACAATGTGGCAATTGTAACAATATGCAAGAGTAGTTGTTGCCCTATCACTACTGCTGAGCATGGTGAGTCTTTATTCTGAGCCTTTTGACACATCACAGGTGTTTAAGCACCATGTAGGTGTCTCAAACAGTATTAAACCTGTTCTGTCAGTGTATTCTCACAGGTAGCCTAGAGGAGGAAGTACGTGTCAAAGAAGTACCAAGTCACCCATGCACTGCGACATCACCTTTTTTTTCCTGCAGGGTCACGGACTTCCTCTGAAACTCTGACCCTGAGCTCCAACTCCAGCCTCTTTCATGTTTGTATGGAAGACATTTTTCAGCTGTCTTCGAAGCTTCTATGAAAGTAATAAAATGATCTTTTGAAAACCTGATCATTCAATGTAACAAGTTTCCTAGCTGGTCCCTGGGGTTCATACAACCTGGATTTACATAATATTAGCCAGGACAGATTGCTGTGGCTTTGCACCAGTTAGCATTTGTTGCTATGTAGTGTGTGTGTGTGTGTGTGTGTGTGTGTGTGTGTGTGTGTGTGTGTGTGTGTGATCATTATCCAGATTAGAAATTACATTTACAGCCGGGCGTTGGTGGCACACGCCATTAATCCCAGCACTCGGGAGGCAGAGACAGGCGGATCACTGTGAGTTCCAGACCAGCCTGGTCTACCGAGTGAGTTCCAGGACAGCCTCCAAAACAATACAGAGAAACCCTGTACCGAAAAACCAAAAAAAAAAAAAAAAAAAAAAAAAAAAAAAGAAATTACATTTGCACCATTAAAGAATTTGGAAATTTGCTATGATCTGAAACAATTTAGAAAGAGTAACTAACTATTTGGGGTTTTAAAACGTTGCCTTCCTTGTGGAAGAAATATATATCCCATCTAGTTCCCTTATATAATCACGTGACCACCTGACTGGCAGTGCTTTTCACTTTCCATCAGCTTTTTCTGGTTTTCTATGAACACTGTCTGGCTTAAGCTGTATGTCTGGCATCCGTTTTGATGAACTGTGTCTTTTTTTTTTAATTACACATTTTATCTGTGCTTATAGAGAAAAATCTAAAATTAGCAACATAAAACAACTCATACAAATGATTTCTTCCTTAAATGACAGAAGTAACTACTAAAATCAATAAATCATCTATAAATGGATGCCAATGGTATTTTTTTAATATTTGAAAAAACAAAAATCATGTTCTCAGGAAAAACAGCTGTCCAGATTTGAGCGTCCATTATTTGCTCAAACTTCTGTCACAGAGTGGGAGGTCTTTAAGTATACAATCTCATGACAGTTTTCTACACCCATATTAATGCAGGCTTCTCTGTCTTCTCTATCCAAGAATGAATAGACATTTATTATCACTATTCATATGCAAATATTTCTACACTGCTAGACTCTGCTAAAGCTTAAATCTGGAATGTTCCCCTAAAGGTCCATGTGTTGCAGGTGTGTGAGGGGATCCCTGCAGGTGTCATACAAGGAAGCAAACCACACAGAGATGAGAATGAAAACCTGGTGCGGATGACTTCATCAGCCTGGATCAGACTTCGGGGAGTCTAATGCCAGGCAGTTCATTGTAGGCATATTTGGACACAACAGAATTTGGGAAAGGGTCTCCAGACAACAGTATTTCCCATAATCATTCCAATTCCAGGTGTTGGACAAAATAGGCAAGCATAAGAGAATTATAAGAATAGCTAACAGAGGGCCCAGGAAAGGGGAAAGCAATATTCAACTCACCCATCTCGTAATTTCTGCTAATACTTTTGCTGTGAGCAAAATGGGTGTAATATGGCCTATTCCACATAAACTTTATAAATAATTCTTATCCCGGCAAAACAATATCATATATCTCCTATCACAGGTCTGTCCTTTATCCCCCCTGACCAAAGGCATTTGGATTCTGCATGGATGAGAATTAACATGCAACACAGTCATTAAACATAACTATCATTTTGGGGTTAACTTGTTTCTCTAAAGTCTCAAGTTATCAGCTTACACTCCCTCTTGGGTTATCTCCTTTGAATGGATTTGTCTTACAATTCTCTTATGCTTGCCTATATTAATTAGTTAAGCCACAGAGACAATGCATTCTGCTATGGCTTCAATAGTGGCCACTAATTTTTCCTTACATACTCAGACTTGGGGAGATGTAAGGGCACCAGGGTCTTGCACTCGTAGAGAAGCAGTAAGAGGGAATGATCTGGAACAATCCATCATTCTGGGGAATTAGGTTTAAGTCTGTCCCTTCAGAGAATACAAAGGTCACCAGGTTGTTAGCAACCTCCATGCTCAGCTTTCTGGATGGAATGCGGGTGTTTGGTTTTTCCCTCCCCAACTGAGGAGACACCTGTGCGATTAACATTCCTGGTTCTCTCAGTGCTCTCTAAGCTTGGTGTGTGGAAGGTGGTGGAAGGGTTAGGGGTTGGGACCTAGTGGGAAGTCTTCAGACCCCAGGGACCTGCCTGCAAAGGAGACAATGGGGCCCCTTCTTGTCCTTCCCCTCCTCCTGACCCTGAGCTGGTAAGCTCTGCTCTGCCAGACACTCACACAGGGATGCGATGCCGCAGACCCCCAAAAGCAATAGTGCCAGACAGCCCTGGACAAGGAGCTCCACAGCAATGAGCCATGATAGCCACATTTTATGTTGATGGGCTTAGGTACTTGTGGAAGGGATGGGAAGCTGACTGACGTGGTCAGTAGCAGAAAGTACCGTTGGTGACGTTTTATATCAACACTTGAGAGAAGTTCGGGCAACAGAGAACATGGCTCAGACTTGCACAGCCTGAAGAGCTTACAGAACAATGTTCATTAAAAACCCAGCAAATCTGGTTTCTAAAGACCTGCTGCACTGCTCAGCACCTCCACATAGGCCTCTCGGAAAAGTGGTTTTAATGGCATAGACTCAATGCTGTCACCTTAGAGCAAACTCCCAAGCCACCAAGGGGCAATACTTGTTCTTTTATGCCCCCCAATTGGCACCAGGTTCCTAAAGTCTCCTGATAGCCTGTGAGTCTGAGATCCTGAGTGGTGAGCCAGGTCCATGACCCCTCCCCCAATTTGTGAGCAGCAGAGCCAGTCAAGAATGGACACGAAGGTCACCGTTCCTCAGTAGCAGTGCCCAAACTTTGCAAACTTTAAGGACAGGGTAACTGCTTTTGTTTTCTACTTCCTTCCTGTTTCCTTGCAGCTCCTGCATGTTCCCGGGATCCAGCTGTGGTTCCAATGGCCCTTTGAGTATCAGGGCATCTGACTTCAGCCTCACCCTTGGTTGGCTGCCAGGCATTGAGTGCCCGCAGCAGCGGCAGGCCCTAACCTTCCAGCCTTCTGCTCCAGGCTTGGATGACTGGTTTACAGGCCCAAGGAAGTGGTGTTTGAGGAGTGCTGCCTCTTGAGAAGAACCACACCTGGAGGGAGGGACCTTTGACCTTTTGCGCTTGCTTGGCATAGACATGGGGAAGACCATTTGAATCCGAACATATATATATTTAGGACAATTAAGTAAAATAATTAAGACACTCCAAAAGGTAGACTTTTGAGTTAAATTTGAGCTCTTTGGAAGCTGTGTATGCTGTTCTTCTCAAAGGAGAGGAGGAAATGGATACTTCTGCAGTCTTACAAACTGTCATGTGTCACAGGTCATGCTGAGGCGGATGTGTGTGGACTGGCAAGATAACAGTCACCTGGCTAAATTGGTGAGCATCAGGTCCTGATGAGAGACTTTTCTCAAAAGAACAAGGTGGACAGCTACTGAGGAATGCCACCCAAAGTTGACCTCTGTCCTCCACATGTATACACATACATGAGCATGCATACCTGCACATAGATGGGCATCTGCCCACACAAGAACATGCGCATATGCCTGTGTATAACATATACATACAAAATTAAGTCATGGCATTTGGTTAAAGTATAAGAAAAATAATTGTTTATTATTGCTTAAAATATGTAACATAAATGGAACAGTTTACTATTGAATAACTGCCTTAAGAGATGCCTATAGCCAGGCATTGGGGGCACACGTCTTTAATCCCAGCACTCTGGAGGCAAAGGCAGGTGGATCTCTGAGTTCGGGGCCAACCTGGTCTACAGATCAAGTTCCAGGAAAGGCTCCAAAGTTACACTGAGAAACCCTGTCTCAAAAAACAAAACAAGCAAACAAACAAAAAGATGTCTATAAGAAACTGATGGCTGCAAAAATCTGTGAGAACTAAAGACTTAAATATCAGAGAACTCTGTATCCAACAATTCAAAAATACTTTTAAAAGGCATTTTTACCAGGCTGTGGTGGCCTGTGTCTTTAACCCCAGCACTCTGGAGGCAGAGGCAGACTGATCTCTTTGAGTTCAAAGCCATTCTGGTCTACAGAGTGAGTTCCAGGACATCCAGGGATACACAGAGAAACCCTGTCTCAAAAAAAAACAAAATTTAAAAAAAGTGTTTTTAATTTACAAAATCAGCATCCACAGAAACAAGTGAATGCAGTGTTTGAAAGGGCAAGTTCAGGGAGCACATATTCTTGTCTAAGTTACAGAACACTTGAACTCACAAGAGTCCTCAGGTATTACCACACGGATAAGCTCATCCCAACAGCAATGCAATAAGAAATCAATAAAGAAAGAGGGACCTGGAATTGACATGTGAAGCAACCTTGTTTCTAGTTTAAATTCAAAAATATATAAATCAATAAAGAAAAGATGGAAAGAGAACTTGTTCCCAAAATAAACACTCCCAAATAATTCATGGATTCCATCCTGTGACAGAAATGAATGTTGATCAAAAATATGTCATGTACCAAGGTATCTGATGATGGATTCCCATGGCACTCGGGTAGGTTTATAGCTGAAATGTGTTTATTAAAAGGCAGTTATAAGACATGGTGGTACAAGCAGGCCCAGACTGGTTCTATGCTTGATCACAGCATAGAAGTCAGTTCCCACAGAGCCTCTCCACGACAGCAGCACACTTCTGAACTGTTAGCTATTTCTGTGTGATGCCCTTGCTGTCTACTCCAATAAAATACAGTTCTTAAATGTTGACAATGTGTCTAATTGTACTGTTTTAAAATTCAACTCTTTAGGCTAACAATATCCCTGACGGAAGCTCTGGTTTTGTCCTGACATGAGCAGTCACTTCAAGAACTGTGCTCACTGTGTTCTCTGTTCTGGAAAATTTATTTATCCTACCCTTCTGGTTTCTGAAAGATACCATTGGAAACCAGCATATCAGAGGATGAGGCATGGCAAAGTTTACTCTTATATGTGTATTATCTTCAATATTCTTGAAATAAAAAAGAAACCTGTGCCACGGAAGGTTGAGCTGGGTAGGAGGAAGGGTAAGTGTGTTGCTCACTCATTACCCAGCCTCCCAGGATCCCCCAGACAATCAGACACAGCAGGGAGTCTAGTCAAGCAGGAACTCATTTATTGCCCCACAACAAGCATCTTTTAAAGCAAAAACCACAGAGTGGGTGTAAGCGTTTCATCGGGATGGGTCAGGACAGAATGGAACAGGAGTGGGTCAGGTATTCTGGCACTCGGGAGTCACAGAATACTCAGTGTTACACAGCTCAGGTGGAAAGATATCCTGGAGCTCGGGAGCCAAGGATACTGAGTGTTACACAGCTCAGGTAGAAAGGTATCCTGGAGCTCGGGAGCCAAGGACCACCACAGGTTGCAGTAAGCTTGGCAGCTTACAGCCTTGCCTCAGAGAAAGGCTTCTCCGGTGTGTCAGCTCCACTCCGGCAGGACAGGGTCTTCCAGCTGGGGATGTTCGCCTAGTGTAGCAGTTTTGCTCCGCAGGTGGTTTCTCGGGCGAAGTTGCTACAGTTCAGCTCTGCTCCTGGAGAGCGGAGAGCGGAGAGCAGGGAGCCGGGAGCAGAGTGTAACAACTCCGCTCTGCCAAGGAAGGTTTCCCGGGCAAGTGTTACAGCGCTGCTCGCTCTGCTCTGCTCTGCTCTGCCCAGGGTCGCCTCTGCTTGCTCTGCTCTGCTCTGCCCAGGGTCACCTCTGCTCTGTCGCCCCCGCAAAAGAAGATCTTCACCCGAAGCTCATCTAAAGGGGTTTATTGGAAGGCAGCTGGACCAGCCAAGCTGAACATACACAGGGTTTATATAGGGATTCCTGGGGTTGGGGAAGTTTTTCCAGGGTAGGGATTGGTCCGATTTCAGTGCTGAGCTCAGATTGGCTAGAGCTCTGCTCTGGGATTGGTTACTTTTTTACACAGGATTAGGGTCAGATTTGGCTCTGGTTTCAGGGCCAAAGTGTGTTTCTTTCTCTGGTCCTTTTTAGCCTTTTGGCTCCAATTTTAGGGCCAGGGTACATTTCTTTCACTGACTCTGATTCCAGGGACAAAGTGTGTTCCTTTGGCACTGGTTTTAGGGTCAGGGTACATTTCTTTGGTTCTGGTTGCAGGGCCAAAGTGTGTTTCTTTGGCTCTGCTCAGGGTGTGTTTCTTTGACTGGTCCCTTTTCCCTACAGTGGGAAAACAGCCAGCCAATGGTTTTAAAGGCCAGCCTATCATACATCTAGGCGTCCTAGGCTTTACCTAGTGAACACGAGCTGTTCATGCAGTGACCTCATCTTGTTTGATTTAGGCAACCAATCATCTTTTTTAGTAAACAACTCAGGAGTCGCCCATCTGAATTCCCTTCAGCACCATCTTTGACTGGCTCGTGTGCCCTGCAGGTTCCCCCTTTTTGTTTTAGACTACGGCCCACCTCATTTTGAAGTACGGGTCTGGGCACCTCGGCAGAGGTTCACCTCTAAACGCAGCTTTTGTCAAGTTTCACTCAAAAGGGAGATATCCTCAGGGCTGAGCCAATCGCAATGTACACGAGGGGTCATCAGTTGGGTTTCTCGAGTCTTTGTTCTGACTAGTCTGAGCAGCCTTTTGAAAAAACAAGGCTCAAAGACACAAATTAAGGTTATTACTATAAAGGAACTCAACAGGGTGGGGATTGCCTTGTCCAGGAGTCCATCCCTGATTTTCTCACACCTCCATTGTGCACAGTAGAAGGCATTTAACCCACTATACTGTTCGATTGCTCCCCGGGCATATGTAAAAGTCAGTGTCCCTTAAGGCTGCCCTATTGGGAGCATGTGAGCAGCCCAGGGATTGGGGGTCTGATACATGGGGCAGGTGGCACCCCTACAACCCTCCACATTCAGATCGTCCTTGATGAAGAGTTCAGTCTCCTGTGTCCCAAGATCCTCAGGCCAGGTCACAGAGGTCGAAGAGTGGGCCATCAGGTCTGGGGGACTGCCTTATTCGTGGTGTTGTTGAGGACATCTGCATTGCCAGCATTGATCATCATCCACGTCATCTTTTGGAGACGATGAGAGTTCTGGGGATGGTCACTGGAGCAGTCAGCATCAGCAGCGGGAGTATCAGAGCGGTTGGGAAGTCGGACATCATCTGAAATTTTTAAAGAACATAAATGCTTCTCAAGGGTCCAGAGCCCTTGGACATGGTTAGGTATCATTGCATTGGCCCTGTTATTTCGGAAGACGAGCCTTGACCACCATTGCCGTTTCCTCTCCAGCAGCCTCAAGGACCCTTGACCCTGGGGTTTGCCAGAGCCTGGGTGATGACCTCTGTGATGGCAGTCATCTGTGCCTGTAAGGCCAGGGCCAGAGACTGGGATTGGTGTTGGGTACCTACATCTTGGGAGGCTACCACCCATCTGCTCAGAGAACTGTCTTTTAATCCCACGCAGAGCATTCTATGGCCCCCATTCATCCCTTCCCATACCAGCAGTTTGATAAATTGTACTCAGGTCTCTGGGCAGCAGCTTTCGCAAACGCTCGGTTGGACCTGGTCTATAAACTCTGGCAAAGGCTCTCCGGGCTTCTGCCTCACTCCAGCTGTGGGGGGACTCAGTAGACCCATCATCCAGTTTAGCCCAGGTGTTCAACCCAGTCTGTGTTACCTGATCTTGATTCAGCCGAGGGATCCCTGCTTGCTGAACCCCATTCCCGACAGCATAGCACAGGTAATAGGGATGGGGGGTTAGCTTGCCTATTTGCCTTAGCCCATACCCACAGTTTAATAAACTGAGAACTAGAGAGGGCTGCATCAGCCACATCCAGCCAGTCTTTGGGGACTCACGATAGTAGGAGAGGTCCTGCAACAGGAAGGAAATTAGGACCATCTTCTGCCACAGCCTTGTGGAGCTCTTTAAGATCCTTGGCCTCCCAGGATGCCAGTCTAGAGGCCTGCCTGGCCCAGGGCCAAGTTTACTGGGTAGGCTTGTGCGGACCTACTGCATCCTCCCGTTCCTCCTTGATTGGGTAGGCCTCTTCATAAACTGGGTCTCCAGGTCTCACCCGACCATTGTCTGGTCAATCATAGGGTTCCCTGAGGGCGGTGTAGGGGGGGACCAACCTCCTAGCTCCTGGGAGAATAAAGTGAGCATCTGGAGTTACCAGGGGCTGATGGTTGGGCCCATTCCTCCTCTGCCTCATCTTTGGGGAACTTCTCTGGTCCCTCTCCTTCTCCCTTCTTACTGAAACTAGAGTTACCCATACTAAGGATCTCACCTACCCTGAGAGACCACTTGGCCTCGGCCGAGGTTTAGGTCCTTCATGTTCCAGGTTCGGGTGCCACATGCAGGGTCTTAGCCCAGCCATGGAAGGTTGAGCTGGGTCAGAGGAAGGGTAAGTGTGCTGCTCGCTCATTACCCAGCCTCCCAGGATCCCGGAGATAATCAGACGCAGCAGGGAGTCTAGTCAAGCAGGAACTAATTTATTGACCCACAGCAAGCATCTTTTAAAGCAAAAAAACCCCAGAGCGTGAAACAGCCAGCCAATGATTTTAAAGGTCAGCCTATCAGGAGCCTAGGCTCCCTAGGCTTTACCTAGTGAACATGAGCTGTTCAAGCAGTGACCTCATCTTGTTTGATTCAGGCAACCAATCATCTTTTTTAGTAAACAACTCAGGACTCTCCCATCTGACTTCCCCTCGGCACCATCTTTGACTGGCTTCTGTGCCCTATAACATCCAGAAGGAACTTTTCAATTATCCAGTATATAATTACTTCTGCATTAATTTTCTGATATTACTCAATTATCCTGTTCACCTGGGTATGGTCACACCATCTTCTTGAAGCAGAAAAGATAACGGGGCACCAACAAAGCCTGCAACTCCTCACTTGCAATAGTAGACAATGCCAATTTCAATTTGATTGCACTGTCAAATTATTGAATGTAGACTCCATCTGTAGGGCTTCTGGGAAGCATATATATATGATATATAAATATATGTATGTATGTATCACACACACACACACACACACACATATATGTATATATATATATATATATATATATATGATCATTGCAGCTAAAGAAACCCTGTGGGCCATGTGAAGTCACTTTGCTATGTGTCACTGAACTAGAAAAGAGACCAGGAGGAGGGGGGGGGAGAGATTGGGGAGAGAGAAAAGGTTATGGCTGCAGGTTACATGAAAGCAAAACCTGGGGTGGGGTGGGTGGGGGAGGGACAGCAGGACCAGGCCAAGCATTGTGGGGAGATGGGGAGGAGGGACGAGGACAACAAAATACGTGTAAGATGCCATAATGGAACCCACCACTGCATATGCTAAAGAAAAAGAAGGTAGGAAAACCACATTTAGAATGTAAATATATCTGCAGAAGTGTCGGGGCAACCAAGAGCAAAAGCATACACAGCAATCCTTTCATAATAATTTATGAGATTCTGAGACTGAATATAAAATTTAATGAGGTGCAGAAATTTAATCACCAGTATAAGATAATGTAGGTATTTCCTGAGCCAGGTGGTGGTCACACACACCTTTAATCCCAGAACTTGGGAGGCAGAGGCAGGTGGATTTCTGCGAGTTTGAGGTCGGCCTGGTTTATAAAGTGAGTTTCGGGGCAGCCAGGATTGTTTCACAGAGAAATCCTGTCTTGAAAAACCAAAACCCAAAACAATTTTTTAAAAAATTTTGGGTAATAGTAGCAAAAGCAGTCCATGGGCCAAAAGACTTGTGACATTTGGGGGTGGGGGTGGGATAGTTTTTCTACCCTCACATTCTAAGGGAATATAGTCATATATGTCTTTAAATATAAAATAAAATAAAAAGGAGAGCATGACAGTTTTAAAGGAAAGAAAAAAGTACACAGTTCTTTAATAAAAGTCAAGGACAGAGCCTTAAATAATTATTCAGCTAATTCATTTACATGGGAAATCCCTTGCTTCCTGCAAGGCAGCAGCAGCCACAGCAATGCATGCAGCAATGCATGCAGCAATGCACTCAGCGCCTCTATTTGAAAGTTATTGTTGGTCTGGAGAAATGTCTCCGCAGTTAACAGTGAGAACTGCTCTTCCAGGGGACCAACACCCACATCAGACAGCTCACAGTCCCATCTATCTGTAACCCCAACCCTGGGGGGACCTCAGGCACCTGCACTCACACACGCACACACACACCCCTCTCCTCCCACAACGCACATAAATAAACATAAAGAAAACTGAAAAGTAAAATCCCAGTTGTTGCTAGCAGCACACGATGGTGCTGACCTGCAATCCCGGCACTCTGAAGACGGAGACAGAGGGAATGGAGTTCGAGGCCAGCCTGGGCTGCAAAGTGAGATCCTGTCTCAATCAAAAGTAAAATCATCCCTTAGCTGAATGAAGTTCAGTCAAGGGAGCACACTGCACAAGGATGGGAACGGTTTCACACAAACACAGCATTAGCAAATTATAGGAAAGCCCAGCCAAGAGACACACTCCCTTTGGAGTATTTTGTACTAATTTTAAGAAATTCCCATTCCATTAATACAAGAGAAAAGTTTTTGCTAGAAACATGTTATAGAACATTTATTACATTTGAAGGCCTAGCCAAATTTCAAACAATTTCAAAACTAAGGTTCATCTTTAAAAGGCTATGATAATGGTTTTTGTGCTATAAGCTAGTGACCATAGATGAGATGATTTCTTAATAAGTCTACAGTGTAACTCTACTGTACATTGATGTCTTATGATGTCACACATAATGTGGTTTGGGAACTTGCTTCATACAAACATTTTTGAAACACTTAAGTAATAAACATTAAGGGAACTCCAGTAACAAATTTGAACCCATGTAAGGCGCAAGAGTTTTCTACACGGTGAGATGAGCAGCCACCTGATAACTGTGCAGACAGATCAAATTGATATACTCACCTTATTACTGAAGGATTAATTTTAAACAATATGACGTAGCCTCTCATCCAGTATGATCTGAGAAAATCTGATGCTTGCTGTGCCTTTTCCCAAAAAATGAGTCTGATAATGTTTAAAGAAACTGTTTGAGATTTAGGAAAATCCTAGTAATAAATATCCTGTTAAAAATGTAAAAGAAAAAAATCAATATACTCATATTTGATAGAGGGCTAAATTGTTACTTATGTCTGTCTTATGTGCTGTGAAGGACAAGAGAGACAATACCGACATTATGATATCTAAATGTAAGATATTATGTACTCATTTATTTTAATCCACTATGATTTACCAAGGTTAGATTAAAATCTTTTTTCTTCTTTTCTTTTCTCCTCCTCCTCCTCCTCCTCCTCCTCCTCCTCCTCCTCCTCCTCCTCCTCCTCCTCCTCTCCTTCTCCTTCTCTTTCGACAGGATTTCTCTGTGCAGTCCTGGCTGTCCTACAACTCACTCACTCTGTAGACCAGGATGGCGATGAACTCAGGGATTCACCTGCCTCTGCTTGGGTTAAAGGCGTGTACCACCACTGCTCGGCTGGATTAAAGTATTTTCCCAGGCAAAATCCGTAAAGTGAAAAAAGAATCCCGTTATAACCCCGCCCAAACCGACATGGCAGAGACAGGTTTCCTTCTGTGTCCCCGTGGCTGAGCTTTGTGTGGTCTGATCTTGGTTTTATGTTGTACCTTCGCTGACAGGTGGGGCCCAACACTGGCGGTGTCCACTCCCTACAATGAGTGCAGTGCAATTCATTGCCACAGAGAGCCAGAAAGAAAAGGCCTTAAGGTCAGCCGGATAGATGTGTGCACTTCCATTTCAGCTGACCAAGAATCTATGTAACAATTTCCTTCAGTGTGTGACGACACTAACGGCAAGGATGCCGGTGGTGTTCCAGTGGTAACAAGTGGTAAGAAGTCTTTTGGATGACTAAATTCTCCAGTTTACACATGGAAAAAAACAGAGTGTGGGGTTCCCCAGGATCACACATCCACTCTGCAGTCACCACGACTAAACTCGTGCTATTTGTAACCTGAACTGTTTTTTCTTAGCCATCTAGATGCCACTAAGGTTTGGGTAAACATCCCAAAGGCACACTTGTGTGTTGAGAATCTCCAGCCTGAGCCCCATTCTAAACCCTGGCCAGATCTTCCGCTGGGAACTCAGCCCCATTCCTCACATTCCAAACCTTACCCTCCCGGAAAGCCGCCAAGGGCCAGCTCCTCACCTGGAGCTCCTCAAGACCCAGCCTGCAGGGTATTTAAGACCCTGCCCCTAGACTCCTAGAGAAGTTTCTCTCCTGCTTCCTTTCTCCGGGAATTGCTTTGCTCAGATCAAATCCTTTGGCCTTGATTTGGCTTATTGCATCGATGGAGAAACCCACTACCAGGGATTTCAAAAGACTCATCAGTGTGAAGCTTCGGTCACCAGCCCTGGCGGCTGGTGGGGAAACCTGTAACAGATGGACCCAAGGGATGGACACTTCTGAACCCAGGTCCTTCTTTCCATGCTCAGTTTCCCTGCCCTGTGTTTTCCTCGTGACATGTTTGCACCGTGGCCCCAAAGCGAGGGGGCTGAGAAAGCCTGGGCTGACCCTGCTGGAACTGTGAGCCGAGATAAACCTTACCCTGTGTGAAGTTGGTTCTCTCGGGTATCGTGTCACAGCGACGACAACAGGGTTTCCAAAACTGATGAGAAATTTAAGAATGCCTGGACACTACACGGTGATGATTTCCCCCCTCTGGTCAATAGTTATTTAAATAAACATACTGATTACATTTACAAGGATGTTTCTGAAACATCCTTGCTAATAATGTTTATTTTAGGCTAAAATAGTGACAGCTGCTGTACTTTTTTTCTTTCCCTCCGAAACACTTCCTAAATCTTATTTGGATTAGACAGCTAGAAAGAATAAATGTGTGTAGACCGAATTCTTTTTATGTGGTAGATGACTTGGGCTCTCGGGAGATAACTCTATAATAAGCTTCACAATGACACGCTGGCTGTCACAGTCGTCACCTCCTCCTTTCTAAAGGTCTCTAGGTTCACTGAGGCTATGTCACTCAAGTTCTATCCCAGAGCCTTACCTTGCGGTACTGTTCTCGCCCAGGAAATGATGACTGGATGCCCACGTGCTGGAACAGAGACGGTCTGTACTGAACTCGGACTTCCTTCTTTCGGTGCATACAGTGCCTCTGGGGAAAGGGCAAGCCGCCATCTTCACACAGACTCCAGTACTACTTTCTACCACATTTATTGCCTATAGGATCTTTTTAGATTAGTTTTGTTCAGAGTTCTATACTAGTATTTAAAATTTGGCAAGAATATTCCCTTCTGGGGTCTTCCTACATAAGAATAACCCAGCAAAAAATAAGGGTATGGAAATTAAACTAACATGGGATAAAATCGCTCAAACAGTTAAACATGCTGTCAAATATGAAATATTGAACCTAGTTTTAGAAAATTTCCAATAGGAAAGCAATGTGGCTTGCCTGGCCGGTCCCCACCTGTTCCTAATCCCCCAGCACAGCTGATAAACAGGGCTTCATCTGTTACACAGGTGGTGAGAGAGCGTAAATGCCTTGGCTAACTTGGGCTTGTCCTCATCTGTGAAGATTTATTTTATTACATGTCTGTTTTAGATGCTTGTGTGTGCTGTGCCCGTGGAGGCCGGAAGAGGACACTGGATCCCTGGACTGTTAGTGACAGGGCCTTGTGAGCCACGTGGGTTCTGGGACCCAAGCCTGGGTCCTCTGCAAGGACAAGTGCTCTGGATGCTGAGTCACCCTGCCACCTCTCCACAGCCTCTTTCAGACTTAGACTGTTTATTTAGCCATTATTAGCTCTTAGGAGCCCTTTACATATGGTGATACAAAGCAGGGCTTTTTGGCTTACAGAAACCCTCCTGCCATGCCCGCCTCTGGAGAGCTCCTTTCACGGCACAGGTGTGTGTCATTTTGCTGAAGCCCAAACTCTGTCCTATTCCCATTTGTCTGAAAGTTAATCTTGTCACATGATTCTTGCATCTTTGTTCCTTAAAACTTCTTTTTGTTTGGCTGGGATGTTTGGATTTTGTTGTGTTCGGTGGTAGGGTTGGTAAGGAACCTAGGGAGATACGTGCTTGGCAAGTGCTTCATCATTGCGTTATTTCGCTAGCCCCTCCTTAAAAATTTAAATGCACAGATTGCATTGTATGTGATTTTAATCTAATTTAATTTAAATTCAAATTCATCATTTTGTTTTAATTCACTGTTGCTTAGTTCGGAATTTTTGTAGCTATGTTCATGTGGAATTTACCCTGTTTTTATCTTGGTTCCCCACTGTCACCGTGTGTGTGTGTGTGTGTGTGTGTGTGTGTGTGTGTGTGTGTCTGAAAGAGTCTGTGTGAGTGTGTGAGAGTGTGTCTGTGAATATACATGTGTGAGAGAGTGTGTGTGTGAGAGAGAGTGTATGTGTATATGTATGTCTGAGACAGAGAGAGACAGAGAGACAGGGAGTGTGTGTGTGTGTGTGGGTGTGGGTGTATGTGTGTGGCAGTCTGTGTGAGTGTATGTGTGTGAGTGTGTCTGTCAGTGTACATGTATGAAAGTGTGTGTGTGAGACAGTGTGTCGGTGAGTGTGTGTGTGTGTGTGTGAGAGAGAGAGAGAGAGAGAGAGAGAGAGAGAGAGAGAGAGAGAGAATCATTTTGGACAGACACACTTAATACAAATATTGAAACTCTTGGATATATGCATTATTATTTTTCTGTGTGTTTACCTCTGTTCTTTTAGTTGTTTTAGGAACTTGGTTTTTGTTGCTGTTGTTTTGTTTTGTTTTTTGTTTTTTTTTCTCCATGTTGTAACTTTTCTTAGCATTATTTTGGATCCTCATTTCATTTAATATTATGGTGATGTCAGCAAAATTTAGGATACAGAAGCTTAATGTTCTGTTGCACTCATCAGATCATTATTTTTGTTACTAAAAATATTGCAGTGATAGTGTGATATGATGGTATTTCCTTGGTCTGGCAGTTCATGCGGGTGTTCCCTGCTGCACACCCTCACCAGGGACTCTCATGCAGGGAGTCCCCCGCTGCTCACCCTCACCAGGGACACTTACAATATGCTCTCCCAGGTTGCACATCTTCACCAGGAAAATGTCATTTAAAAGTATATCTATGGGCTTCACTTTGTAGAACATCAAGAAAAAATGTACAAAGTCATGCAGGTCCTTCGACTGAAAGAGTTTTCCTGTGGAGAAAAAGCAAACTCATGGACACGTCTGTGACATGAGCCTTGTGTGTTCCATCCAAAGGAGCAAACAGAACTTTATCACATTACAGAGGTTGGAGACAACAATGCAGAACATCACATTTGCTTCAGACTGTTGAGGGGAGGGTATGTGAGCAGCCCTACACTGAGCCACTCTCTCAGGACATCATTTTGAACTCAGCATTTATCTCAGTCACTCAAAGGGAAGGGCAGCAGGCTACAGAACGGCGAACGTGAAAGGCCTCTCTCTGAGTTCTACACAGAGGACTCACCTGACCTTGCAGCCCTCAATGAGCCTGCTACATAGTAACCTTTCATCCTAAGTTTTTACTAAAATACTGAATATTTCAAAATTTGAAAATTGTTTAAACAGGCAATTATAAGAGTACTATTTTAGGTTTATGGTTCTTAAAGATATACTGTATTTTTAAAAATCTGGTCAAGTAGGCCCAGTTTGTTTTAGTTTTTCTTTCTAAAACACCGAGTTCTGAATTTTAAAATGAAAACTGAATTGAAGAGATCCAGTTGGATGCTTGATTGAAAGTATGTAACATAACTTGGCCCATTTAGTAAGTTAGATGGACACTGTTGAGCCCCAGCCCCCACGGGGTCTCTGTGAGTCACTGGTCAGTCAACAAGTCCATCCTGTTTTCTAGTCCTGGCATCCTGCCCTGGCCTTGACCCTCTGACATCAACATCTAGCAGGAGGAAAACACCTCTATTCCACCTTGGGTTTTTCCACTGTGCTGTAAGCCTGTATATAAGACTTTTCCCTCCTACAAGGGAGATCTCTCTCTCTCTCTCTCTCTCTCTCTCTCTCTCTCTCTCTCTCTCTCTCTCTCTCGGCAATAAAGGCAACACATGCATTCTCTTAGTACAAACAAGTGGACGTCTGGTCTTTCTTTTCCTGTTACCTTGGAGGCCCCACCGAGATCCAGAGAGACTTGGAAAGACTGAGAAAGATCAGCCAGAAAGAAGACTCAGGAGAGGAGAGACTAGAAAAAGAAAAGATTTAGTAACAGGTACCTCAACTTCTAACAGTAAAACTGAATGGGCAAATCTCCAGGCTGTTGCCTGAGAGATTACCTTCTAAGGAGAAGGTGTATTGAATTAATCTCCAGCCTTCGCCTGATCTACTGAGTTTGAGAAAGAAAGAGGAATCTGAGAGATTGCCCTCAAAGGCTGGCCAACAAGTAAGGCTATGAGGGTGTACTGGAAAAGGGTACCAAGTTAGGGGTACCAGGTTAAATCTCCAGGCCTTCGCCTGATACCAAGGTCAGGAAAGAAAGGGGAACCTGAGAGATCGCCCTCAGTTGGAGGGTGGATTGAGTAAATCTTAAGGCTTTTGCCTGAGGGATCATCCTCAGAAAGAGACAAGGTACCAGCAAAACTGTAAAACTGTTAAAGAACAGTTAACAAAATTGTCAGAGAAACAAGGTGCCAGCAAAACAGTTTATAAAATTGTTAAAGAACAGTTAGCAAAATTGTTAAAGAGACAAGGTACCAGCACAACAGTTAGTAGAATTGTGGGCTCCAGTCAGCCGGCAACATGAGTGGCAGCAATGATGTGGTGTACGCCCGCTGGCTAAAGAAACGCTGGTTTATCCTGCGGAGTGGCCAGATGGATGTTCTAGAATACTACAAGAATAAACACGCCAACAAACCCCTCAGGATCATCAACCTGAACTTCTGTGAGCAGGTGAATGCAGGCCTGACCTTCAACAAAAAAGAGCTTCAAGATAGTTTTGTGTTTGATATCAAGACCAGTGAGCGTACCTTTTACCTGGTGGCTGAGACAGACATGAATAAGTGGGTCCAGAGCATCTGCCAGATCTGCGGCTTCAAAAGGAAGTCCTCAGCCCCTTCACACCCTGGCCATCCCACTTTTGAGCCCCCTATGTCAAACCACATCCAGCCTGCCTTGCCCACCAGCGCACCTTAAGAGTATCTCTACTTACACCAGTGCACAAGCCAAAAGACAAAAAACACAAGGACTGTCAGCTTCTCTCAGGGTACTCAACAGAAGAGTGATAGGGCCATATAAAAACCTGCCCAGGGCAGTGGACACTGTATCAACGGAGTCAGCGGGCAAGTCTATGGCTTCTATAGCCTTCCCAAGCCAAGCCGACACAATATAAAATTCAAGGACAGTACTTATGACCTCTCCTGTAGCATGGCTTCACATAGCCACACCAAGGGCAGCCTCACAGGGTCTGAGACAGACAATGAGGATGCGTACACCTTTAAGACATCCGGCAACACCCTGTGTCGGGAGTTTGGGAATCTCCTAGTGGACAATACGGAGGTTCCAACCATCCTGCTCTCAGCCTACTGAATCCCTAGAACATTCACACTGGACACAATGGCCACTCCTGGAGACTCAGCCATAGCTCCCCCACCCCGGCCCCCCAAGCCAAGTCAGGCAAGTCAGACAAAACACGTCGGTGGGGCAGCCCTCAGCAAAGACCCCCAGTCAGCGAAAATAACAAATTTGTAGCTGCTACTATCCCCAGGCACAATACCCTCCCTGCAATGGACAACATGCGACTCCACCGAGCCTCTTCCTGTGAGACTTACAAGTACCCAACACGAGGCAGAGAGAGCACCAGCTGGTCTGCTAAATCTCCAGGGACAACTATCGTAGGTCGTTCAGACAGTGCCAGCTCTGGTGACAACTATGTGCCCATGAGCCCAGGGCCCCATCACTTTGACCCTCCAGGCTACCCATCCACAGCCCTTCCTATTCATAGACACCCCAACCCAGGAAGTGAGTTCCAGCCACCCCCAGTCAATCGCAACCTCAAGCCTGATGGGAAAACAAAACCAACACCCTTTGACCTGAGAAACAATGCTGTCACCGATGAGCTCCCTTTCAAGTTGCCTGTCACCAAGTCTTGGTCCAGGGTCAATCACGCCTTTAACTCCAGCCCCTCCCAGTACTGCTGTCCCATCTCCACACAAAACATCACCAGCACAGACTCAGGAGACATCAAGGAGAGCTATGTCCCTATGCAAAACCCAGTGTCTGCGTCCCCTGTCCCCAGTGGCACCAACAGCCCAGCTCTGAAGAAGAGTACTGGCAGCCGGGCTCCCCGAGCCCTCACCGCAAGCCATCCACATCATCTGCCGCATCAGATGAGAAGGTAGATTATGTCCAAGTGGATAAGGAGAAGACACAGGCCCTACATATCACCATACAGGAGTGGACAGAGATGCGGCAAGAAAAATTTAGGAAAATGACACCTTTTGCAGGATCTGAGAGAGGTCAGTAAAACTGTGAACATCATAGGTGCCCCACATCTGGGTTTGCTCACTCTGGTAGGAATTCAGAAAGACTGGTTTTTATTGGTTGTTGGTTTACATCCTAACGATTGTACAATTTACCTTTAGTGTTCCTTTCATTAGTTTTAAGGCCTCAAAAAATTACTTTAAGGCTAGACAAATTAAAATACTTGAATGGATATCATACAGAGGGTTCCTGATTCTGATTTTTCCTACACCCTTACTAAAGAAGACGGAAATTGCCTTAAAAACAAAACAGCAAGCCTTAGATAGATTGCATCCTAGAGCTTACTATAAGGGCATATAAGATAAGTTTGCAAATCTTTGGCAAAGGACCTGATGTTATTGTTACCTAGTAACTCCTCTCAAATTGCCTAGCTACAACAGAATATTGGCGATTAGAAATGGAAAAATGGTGAAGGCCATGAGGGCCTTTTTCAACCTTTTGTTTTGATTCAAGGATTGGCTGGAGCTGTTCTGTCACAAGAGATTTCAAGTGAGAAAATTTCATTTCAACAAACTAATCATGACCTAGGGAAAAAGGATGCCTAAAAGATGTATGTATTTCTGTATGTACCGTGTGGCCACACTGGTATATATGAAATGTGATTGGGAATGTGTGAATGTAAACTACTTGAATTGCCTTGGATATGATTAAAAGGATACTTAGGTTACTTTGGAGATAGTTAAAAAGCTACCTAAATTGCTTTGGATATAGCCAAAAAGAGCATCCAGCCAGTCAAAGTCTTAACAGGAAAGGTTGACGTTTTGAGTCCTCAAAGCTAGTCAGTGGAAAAATAACAAAAGCCTACAACATGGCCCAAGAGCCAAAGAAATCTATATAAAAGATTCTACAGAGTTTAGTAGAGGAGAGGATACAGAAAGTCTCCAAAATTTTTATGGTTAAAAAGAAAAAAGGTTTTTGAGAAGAAGCCTCCGAAAAACTGCTATCCTGTTATACACCACCTACAAAGGAGTCGGTGTAGATACAAATTAGGCGAGAGCTTTACAAATTAGATTGCGGATTGGATTAGAAAGAGTTCTTACAAACCTCAAATAATTTTCAAAAATTATTTGGGACATAGTATAGTTTACAATCTTTGAGTGATTTTCAAAAGTTATTGGAAAATGTTCAATGGTTATGTCCTTTTTAAAGGACATCTACTAGTAATTTAGAGAGTGATCCCAGCTCACCTAGATAGTTAACTAAGGAGAGTAGACAAGTCCTTCTACTGTAAAAGTATAGTCCAACATCAATAAGTGTTAACAAACAGTTCCAACAAAATTTCAAAAATAAAAATATAAAAAAGGGGAAGTAATGTCTCCAGCCCCAACATGGTTCATTAAATCATGCAGTCCTCATTTAAAAATGTTTTAAAGTGTGGATACTAGTGAGCAATCTGCTGCAGACAGATTCTGGCATGATGGAACTTGAGTGACTATTGCTCAGGTCAAATGGAGACATTCATGCGCTAGACAGTGGAGAAGACCCGATTCTGCCCTAATTTGGGATTGAGGGTGTGTTTGTGTTTTCTTGCAGGAAAAGAATAAAACTCGGCGACTGTCAAAACATTTGGTAAGATGCATGGAGCAGAGAAAAATTGGACCTGAGACCGTGGGAGCCTGCCCAAGCCAGTTCAAGTGAGATCTCCTAAACCAGTGTTCCTGACCCTTGATGTTATTGAATCTACAGCCTGAGAAAGAAAGGAAATAGCTGGTTCTAGATTTCCAGTTTTTCAACAGGCCTGCTGCATCAACCTCCTGGACCCGTGAAGCCAACAGAGAACTGGAAGATTAACAGTCTGCCCTTGACATACCTTGAAACAATAAAATTTATTTTGCCAGTTTTTCCCTTTGGCGACAAGGATCCATTTAAAACAACTGGACACTGGTATGGACCGTGATGAGTGGCAAAAGCCCCTTTTCAGTATTTGAACAGGACACAGCCACTTGAAATATCAGCCTTGGTGGTTCCTGTTTCTGGAATCACGTCTATGCCAATGTATTTTTCTGGAGAGATGCAACTGGCCTTAATGCAGCAAAAAAAGAGACTTTGGCATCACTGCTGAGGTGATTGTAGCTGTTGCTATTGCTGCTCAGCAGCCATTGTATCTGGGACTGCCATCTCACAGTCTGTAACTATAGTGAATAAACCAGCAGGGGAAGTAACAGAGGCTCTCAGCACTCAGAGCTCCTTAAATAACTTAGTCCAGGTAGGAATTTGACATCCTTAACCCTGTTCGCCTACCCAGGCGCACATTTGTGTTACCCCTGCCAAAGTTTATACTCATCAATTGGCCAATCAAAATATTAGGATGAATGAAGCCCTGGTTCCTCCATTTTCTGGAGAGATCATCCTTAGGAAATCCCAGATGGCAGGCCATTTAATCAAAGAATGGGTCGAGTCCCCATCTCTGGGCCTTGTAGCCATAGGACTTATTATCATATGCTTCATTTGGTTAAGGTGCCTCAGTGCTAGACCAGCCCAGGCTTGAGTTGTCACCCGAGGACCACAGAGAATCCCTCAGCTTGACTATGGTTAAGCCTACAAAAATATTAAGCAGCCAATGACAGATGAGACTAAGGGGATGCCAGCCAACCTAAGACAGGAGGGTCATACAGTCTGGGTGATTTCTCCATTGACGGGTAAGGTTGGCATTAACGTCCTAGTCACCTGAGATAGGTGCTAATTTATATATAAAGAAGGAAGGGGGGATATGTTGGGCCCCAGCCCCCATGGGGTCTCTGTGAGTTGCTGGTCAGTCAACAAGTCCATCCTGTTTTCTAGTCCTGGCATCCTGCCCTGGCCTTGACCCTCTGACATCAACATCTAGCAGAAGGAAAACATCTCTCTTCCACCTTGGGTTTTTCCACTGTGCTGTAAGCCTGTATATAAGACTGTTCCCTCCTACAAGGGAGATCTTTCTCTCTCTTAGCATTTGTAACATACACACACACGCACACACACACACACACTCTCTCTGTCTCTGTCTCTGTCTCTCTGTCTCTGTCTCTGTCTCTGTCTCTCTCTCTCTCTCTCTCTCTCGGCAATAAAGGCAGCACATGCATTCTCTTAGTACAAACAAGTGGACTCTGGTCTTTCTTTTCCTGATACCTTGGAGTTGCTTGTGGCGTGGGTGCCGCAGACACATACATTTTCCTTTGGATTTTGAGGCTCTGTGGGTCACTTATTATGAAATGTACAATTGTATTTTAGCTACTTGCTGATGTTGAGTTGAATGATGAAAATGTTAATATATGTCCTCTTCTGTTACCAGGGAGCTGCAAGGCTCTATTTGTAGGGAAAAGGGACCAGTCAAAGAAACACACCCTGAGCAGAGCCAAAGAAACACACTTTGGCCCTGCAACCACAACCAAAGAAATGTACCCTGACCCTAAAACCAGTGCCAAAGGAACACACTTTGTCCCTGGAATCAGAGTCAGTGAAAGAAATGTACCCTGGCCCTAAAACTGGAGCCAAAAGGCTAAAAAGGACCAGAGAAAGAAACACACTTTGGCCCTGAAACCAGAGCCAAATCTGACTCTAATCCTGTGTAAAAAAGTAACCAATCCCGGAGCAGAGCTCTAGCCAATCTGAGCTCAGCACTGAAATCGGACCAATCCCTACTCTGGAAAAACTTCCCCAACCCCAAGAATCCCTATATAAACCCTGTGTATGTTCAGCTTGGCTGGTCCAGCTGCCTTCCAATAAACCCCTTTAGATGAGTTCGGGTGAAGATCTTCTTTTGCGGGGGCGACAGAGCAGAGTTGACCCTGGGCAGAGCAGAGCAAGCAGAGGTGACCCTGGGCAGAGCAGAGCAGAGTGAGCAGCCCTGTAACACTTGCCCGGGAAACCTTTCTTGGCAGAGCGGAGTTGTTACACTCTGCTCCCGGCTCCCTGCTCTCCGCTCTCCGCTCTCCAGGAGCAGAGCTGAACTGTAGCAACTTCGCCCGAGAAACCTCCTGCGGAGCAAAACTGCTACAGGAGGCGAACATCCACAGCTGGAAGCCTGTCCTGCTGGAGCGGAGCTGATACATTGGAGAAGCCTTTCCCTGAGGCAAGGCTGTAAGCTGCCAAGCTTACTGCAACCTGTGGTGGTCCTTGGCTCCCGAGCTCCAGGATACCTTTCCACCTGAGCTGTGTAACACTCAGTATTCTGTGACTCCCAAGTGCCAGAATACCTGACCCACTCCTGTTCCATCCTGTCCCGACCCATCCCAAAACGCTTTCACTATTCAGCATGGTCATGTTTCTGGCTGCCAGAGTAATGAAAATTAAGGCCGTGTGAAGTTGAAATACGTCTTTAGTGTCACACATGTGAGTGCCCCCTCCTCTCTCTCTCCTTCTCTCTCTTTCTCCTCCTTTCCTCTCCCTCTCCTTCCTCCTCTCCCTCTCCCTCTCTCCTAACTGCTGTCTGAGGCAGTGAAGTTCTTCAAGGATTTTAAGTTCTCAGAGTAATGTAGCTAAAACACATTTCACTCCAGGTTTTCCAACCTGTCTTGTGGTTACTTGTACTTTTTCTTATGTTCACCAAGGCTAAGTAAGATACACTTGAGTTCTTAAAGTGTTAGGGGAAATTTAGGAGAGAAATGTGATTGAGTGAGCATATGAATAACAAATGGGTTTCCACACCAGTCAGAGGAAGTATTTTACACAGACCCCTGAATGACCACAAGACGGTGGGTGGGTGGGTGGTGGGGGTGGGAGGAAAACTGAAAGAAGGAGAAAAAGATAAATCAGTGTATAGGGGTCACAGAGCCACATGCACTATTGGGTTTCCTAGAGGAAGTGTTAACAGAGCCACCACGGCAGCCTGAGAGATAGAGCAGTTCCCCTCCCAGGTCCCGAGGCAGGGGAGTAGGACATACACACACACACACACACACACACACACACACACACGCACGTACGCACATACGCTTGCACACGCACACACAGCACTCACACGCGCACACACATGCACACACATGCACACGCATACACACTCACACACATGCACACGGCACTCACATGCACACACACGAACACACACGCGCACATGCACACCCATACACACACGCACGAATGCATGCACACATGCACGCTCACACACGACACTCACTCACACACACATGCAAACACATACTCATGTACACATACACTCAAGCATGCATGCATGCGCACACTCACACCTGCTCTCTTTCCTGTTGTAGCAGAAAAATGGCAACAGTAAGAAGCTAATTAGCTGATCAGAGATGGGCATTGATCAAGATTTTGAGAGTTAAAAAAGTAGCTTTGGAGGTAAAAACTGTAAGGACTAGAAAAAGGCTTGCTATGTAAATGTAACACAGGTGTCAGCGGGAGAAACAGCAGACGTTTTGCTTGGATATGTTTTCGTTTCCAGGTCAATTTTGAACCTGTTAGAATTTAAAACTACTTAGACAGTGTCAAAGTTAAAGTAGAAAGCTGGAATTTCTTTTCTAAAGAGTAAAATAAGAGCGAATGCCCAACGGATTAATTGATGTCAGGCCTCTGGACATGGGGCACAGTAACCCAGCTTGAGACCACAAAGCTCAAGGGGGCGGGGGGAGAGACTTCAAAGAAGGAAGAAAGGGAAACCTAAATCATGACTGCAGGAACCAAAATCATACGGTGAGCACCGTCGCAGGAACTTTTCTGTGGCTGGTACAATTCACACACTATTTCTTTTTGTGTGTTGTGTATGCATGTGGTGTGTGCTCACTTGCTTTGGGAGGCTCAAGTGACCTTGAATTGGGTTTCTTCCTTGATCATTCTCTGCCTCACTCACTGATTCGGCTGGGCTGGCTGGCCAGTGAGCTCCAGGCTCCTCCTCTCCAGCCTCCCCAAAAGCTGGCTTGGGGGCTTCCACCATGCCTGATGTTTGTACAGGTGCCGGGGATCCAAACTGGAGCCCCTGGGCTTACACAACAGACTCTTTGCCAACTGAGCCATCTCCCAGCCGCTGCGCCATTTCTACTAAGAGTAGCAACTTTGACACATTGGAAATGAGACACTTGAGTGCCACTGCCCTGAATTCCTTCCCCTGCGACTTCACTTCCCTGAGAGTCAGTTGTGATTTTTCCTTGGTCAGTGTGTTGGTTGAGATGTTGGGGTGGGATTTGGAGTTTAACGTATCCTGAGCATACACTGTCCAACTAGAGTATAACAAGGGCCCTTCATCATTCTTCCACACAGAGAAGGGATAGTACATATTTATCACTGAACATGTGCGTACTCATAGCACCCAATTTTATGTTTTTATGATATGTATATATACATTAATATTCCCATTTATATTATCTATCTAGAAAAAAAGTGATCAAAATATGTCAGCTGTAATTCAAGAGCACCAATCTGGTTTTACCAAGTCATATTATCCATACAGAAATCAGACCAGGCCTTTCCACTTAGCAGTATAGCAAACAAACTATTAGATATGTTCTTAAAAGGTTTTAAAACTATTCTGTGCTAGACAGACAGACAGACATACAAGCAAACCCTTAGGATGAGGCAGAAGAATTAACATTTTGAGGGCCAGCTTGATGGAGAGTTCAAGGTCAACCCATCTTAGAAAAGAGAAGAAAGGAAGGAAAGAAAGAAGAGAAAGAAAGAGCTTAATCCAACAGGATTGAACACAATAGACTATGGCTTACCTATAAATCCAAGTTCTGAAAATTCAATAAAAAGCCAATTTTTTGAAGGGAGACTATTTACAAAATCTTTCATTTTTGTAAAATACATCTGTTTTGCTATGATGTCATCTTCAAGCTAGAGGAAAAAAGCCAAATACAAAAAACAGCATTAATACCTCCAATTATTCCATTAAATTTACATTATCTCAAAGACAAAAACATACTTCCAATAGAACACACTGGAAATGTCTTTGGTGACATGATAATCTTTGGTCAATTCATTAAGGCTATTCTCAGTTAGTCAGATTTATTCCCTGACTATGAGAAAAGACCTGAAGTGTCTCTTTTTTTTTCTCCTAAATGCTGACCAGAACATCCCACTTAAGTCCTCCTTGAGATTCCGTAGAATTCATTTTAATTGTCATCAACATTTCAGTTTTAATTAAGATGATGACAGTCCATCCTGATTGTTATACCAGGATTCCACAGGCCGGACTATCCACAGTAGCCAAGTTGGTTAATTCTAACATTTCTGGATTCTGGGCAGTCCAGCACCCAGGTGCTGGTAGATGAGGAGGCTGCTGAGGCCCAGTCTCCATGGAGGTCTTCTCTGTGTTCTCTGACAGAGAGAAGAGGCCTTCTGCATGAAAACATTAATCCCAGTCATCAGGACTCTGTCCTCAGGACCGAGTCACACCCAAAGGTCCTGCCTCCTCATACCACGCATCTGAGAACTAGGACTTTAACACAGTAATTTAGGGCAGGGACAAACATCAAGAAGGCAGCAGACACAGACTTGCTCTGCGCTTGAGGTAACGCTGCCAGGTTCTATCTGTAGCTACTGTGGTCCTTCGTGAGAGGGGGCAGGAAGGAGCTGGCCGTTCCTACCCACACCTGGCTGGTCAGAAGGATCCTTAGAAGGAGGCCTCCCTAGAGAAGGGGGTGAGGGTGAGAGCCGTCCTTGATTTATACACAGGATGTGAGGTTCTTAGGCTATGTGCTTCCCACATCAGTCACATCCAGGGGGCACGAGCAAGAGACAGAGCTCTGCGGAGTCGCCACTGAGCTGAAGTTGTCTGTCTTTCAGTCTTGGGAGAGATCTTGCTTTCAGGCTTTCTCTCTGCCCTCTACTGATAATTCTGAAAACTCCACACGAGGGCACATGTCTCTTTGTAGTGAGGTGTGTTGCTTATTACAGGAGACCTGCCACTGTTGTCTGGCAATCTGAAGGGACCAAAAGGAAGCCAACACGCACGAGGACTCATTCTACAGCCTCACTAAGGTAGCGTACAACAGCGCCACTCACAAAGTGAGGGTGGCGTGTGGCGGCAGTCTAGGTAGGTCCACAGCGTGACAGCTTAGACACGGACACAGGGCAACTTCTGTGTCCCCCCGGGAGCTTTAGGTTTTCTTTCCAGTTTGTTGTCTCTAACTGTAATGTCCTCTGCTACAGTGAGCACAGCAAGAAGACATAATCAGTCTTAAGCTCCCTTTGGGTAGACTGACTTTATAAATATTTCCTGTTTGTTCGGCTACAGATTAAGGCGGAGCAACACAAGGAGAAAGGAAGGAACTAGAGGAAGGATTGAAAAAGTAAGTAAGACTTGGTTTAAAATTCATGTATACCAAGTTTTCACCTGTAAATAATATGTGGCCTTGGGTTGGGCATACAGCATCAAAATACAAAAATCCAATACTTGTTTCATTTTCCAACTAAAAATAAAGAAGAAAATCTGTTAATGTTCATTATAGCAGATTCATTTATGAGCCTATTCCAGTAATTAAATAACACTTTTACATTTTCTGACCGAACAGTATAGAATAATAATGAATATGTTTATACTAAAGTTGCACTAAAGAGCTTCTCTATTGAGTGGGCAGTACCCGCCTCGGCTATACCAAGACCAGCATGGACTATGTGTTTTCTATTTCAGCTAAACTTTTATTCAAGTAACAAGTTACTATTTACATAGTTTATTGTCAACTTAGGAAGAAGGACCCTCAACCGGGGAATTGTCTGCATCAAACTGGCCTGTAGGCCACTGTGGGGGTCTTTTCTTGACTAATGGTTGCTGCTGGAGAGCCCAGTCCACTGCGTTGGGGATGAAGTCAGGAAGCAGCATTCCTCCAGGGGTTACTGCTACAAGCCCCTGCTCTGAAGTCTTGCCTTGGCATGTCTCCGTGACAGACTGAGATGTGGAAGGGGAGGGAAGCAGGGTGCCCGAGACCAACCCCCCGCATGAAGGACCTTCTATGACATATGGGACACACTGGACTCATACGAAGAACAGAGACTTCTGACCATGGAGAGTCAGTCTAAGAGAAGGCAGACTGAACCAACCCGGTGGGTGGGGGTGGGGGAAACATGCCTAAGGTAAGACGGGATAGAGGAAGCGAGGCTGCAGGACAGCAAAGCCTGGGGAAACTTCCTGAACACAGAGTGGGACACTAACGCAGGGATGAGCAAAAACCCTTATGTAGTTTGAGACTCAAACACACCACATGTGATATAATGCCATACAATAAGAACATGTAGTAGGTTCTCAGGGAAGGGATTTCCCCTGAGATTTCTGGCAAGCCTTTCTCATTTTTTTAAAATTAATTTATTTAATTATTTTATATCCTGACAACAGCCTCCCTCCCCTCTTCTTCTGCTCCCTCCACCCTCTCCCATTCCCCCTCAACTCACTCCTTTCCATATTCACTCAAAAAGGGGCAGGCCTCTCACGGGTATCAGAAAATTATTTTTTTGAGAAATAAACTCAGTACATTCCCCACAATACCGTATTTATTGCCAGAAACATATGATTACTTATCTGCACAACACAAAGGTTTCAACTTTTATTATTGCATAAATACTGTCGTGTTTTGTTCTTATAACTTCCAAATGATCTGGCTTGTCTATTAAACATTGTGTATCTGTGCTATTTCATTGAAGGCATTGGCAAAGTTGAGGAAATTAAGGAGAAAGGCCTGCTTACCTGTCTAGCATGACTAGGGTCTAGGAAAGCTGGGAGTAGCTTCCAGGAGTCATGAGCTCCAATCCAGGCCCCCGCCTTCTTCACTGTGTTCCTATTAATCAGCATGGAAAGGATGGTGCTCCTCATACCTACCTTCTGCCCATCGGCATGGAATGATGCGATGGCTGATTTCATGCTAAAAACTAAATGCCATTGGACTAGGACTCAGAGCTAGAACACAGACAACAGCAGGTGCTGGCTCCCCCATGTCACTATATTGGAGTTAATATCTCCGAGGTCCCTGTTCCAGGACATCCTCAGGACGTAGGCTCTTCCAGGTCCACTCTTTGACCTACCTGTCTGAGTCCTCCGTTGTTTTCTTGCCAAGTAATATACTTGGATAAAAAAAGGTGGGGATTGAAATGACTTCCAAGGACCCAGATTGCACTTGTCTTTTGAATCTAGAAATAGAAGTAAAGGTAGGCTGAACACCAATATAGTTGAATATCTAAGCTTACCAAACTAATGCAAATACTTACAAATGCCTCCTTGTGCATGTCCACATAACATATTGGTTTGGATTATCTCACAGGTTGCTTCCTGATATCAATGACATGTAAGCACTAGTTCCTAGTCAAAATATTTATAAACTAATGAAAGATATAGCAGAAAAAAAGAGAGGCTAAAATACATGGGCCAGCAGATAGCTCAATGGGTAAAGAAACTTGTCCCACAAGCCCAGTGACCCAAGTTCCATCTCTGGAACTCACATAAAAGTGGAAGAGAGAACCAATTATCACAGAGTTGTCCACTGATCTCCATGCCCAAACTGTGGCATGCATGCCCCCATATCATGAACACAGAAAAATAAATGATACATTTAAAAATTAGAATGCAAATTATTAAACATATTTCCCACAGTATTATATATACTGTGGATTTTCTTAAGATAGTCAAAGGCATCTTTTGACAGTCAAGAGGAGAGAGAATAAGCTACAATAAGAAAGAGGCTATAAGAAAACAACTGTCTAGGGTCACTTTCCCAATGAATACATTGCTGTTTACTCAACAGCAGCAGGGCAGTTTCTGAAGTTAGGCTGAATGGGTAGCTAGACTTGGCCTGACTTGCTCTACTGCTGGGGGGGGGGCTGTGTAGCTGTTTTAACAATGACTGTGGCTGGTCCTCCTGCCTCTGCCTCCAAAGTACCAAGATTATATAGTGTGCTGTTCCACCCACCTTCTAATGTAAAACTTAAAAGAATTAATTCTAGTATCTCCTCAGAGAGCAGAAACTACTGGTATAGGAGAAAGGAGTGGGGAGTTATGTTTAGCTGAGAACAAAAATCCATATGTAGGAGTTGAGTACAGTAGAGGCAAATGAAGGCCAGCATCCACACTCGTGGAAAATCTTGGGCTGTGGAGGTTGATGTGAAGTTGACACTGCAGACAACATCACCCTGTTTGGTGGTACACTTTCCCCTTACTGATGGAGAGAGATTTAGACCTTTGCAGTCCTGGGTGGTGACAGTTTTCTAGGAGTTTTTAAAACATTTCTGGATTGTTTATGTTATATCAGAAGTCCTTGCGGTGACTATTCTAGAACTGACAGTCACTATTATACACAAATAGTCTTCTTCATACTGATATGTCAGGGAAAACCTTGAAGTAACTGTATAAAATACAGTTATGGTCAGTCCCAATAAAGTTTTACATATATAACATTAGTATTTTAAAAGTTATCAAGCAGTTTCAAATTTATGATCCATTCAAATCTAACACACTTCCTCATTACTATGGAAGATCTGGACAAAATGCTTCAGCTAAATGTTATGAAATTAAACATGGATTGAAATGTATACATTTACGCTAACTGACATAAAACAACTGAGAAATATTCACTTAGGAAAAATTTTAGGGTTAGAGAGTGAACCCACAACTGCCAACAGAACACAGTGCTAGTCTCATCACCACATCTCTAAAATCACTTGTTCTTTAACGTGTTCATCTGAAATGATGGAGTCGAGCTGGGGAGATGGTTCACAGGGTAAAACTGCTTGCTGCACACGTGTGACTATCTGTTTGGGTTCTAGAACCCACGAAACACCAGGCATGCCTTTGGGCATCCTTGTAACCCTGGTGGAGGGCAGGGGCAGGAGCATTCCTGGCTTGTGGGCTATCAGTCTAGCTCCAGGTACAGCTAAATGCCCTGTGTCAAAAGAAATAAGGCAGAGAGTGATAAAGCAGGGCACAGAAATCCTCCCCTGGCCTCTGCACTCATACAGTAAATACACCACACACACACACACACACACACATTAACTCACACAGAATAAAATAATTGATTTTTGCATTGTCACAATTTAAAAACAATTGCTCAAAGTGCCCTGCACTAGCATCAACACTAGATCCCCTCGGAAACCAACTCACATAATTTTCTCATATTCCTCATTTTCAGCTAAAAAAAAAACCTACAGCGATTTCTGAAGCTGCTGATTTTTGCATGAGTATCCTGTGTTTGTGTGTGTTCATGTTCCTACGCTTGTGCGTGTGAGTTGGGGCTGATGTTAGTTGTCTTCCTTGGTTTCCCTCAACCTTATGCAGAGAGGCAGGATCTCTCTTAAATCCTAGAGAGCTCACCAACTCAGTCAGTCTGGCCAGTCAGCTTGCACGGGGATTCCATCCTCACCTCCTACGCTGGATTACAGGTGGGCTGACATGCCCACATGGCTTATTTTCCATGTAGGATCTGAACTCTGGTCCTCAGGCTTGCAAGGCAAGTGCTTTATCAGCCCAGCCATTTCTGCGGGCCCCCTCTGATGCCATCTGTGAAACTATATAGCAAATCCCAAGCATCCATATACACTGGATAATTTCTTTTCCATCCCAAGCATCCATATGCACTGGATAATTTCTTTTCCATCCCAAGCATCCATATGCACTGGATAATTTCTTTTCTTTTCACTTGTGATCTTGACAAGTCCCTGCCCACTTGTTTTTGCCTTATCCACTACTAAGTAGAGTAAATGTCTTGGTGATGAATCACTGCTGGCTGTACTCCCATTAGCCAGACCCAGCTCAGGGGCCAGTGTTTCCGCCCTGGTCGTTGGAAATGGCAGATTCCTTCCTACAAGTCTCTCCGTGGCTGTCACACCTCCCTTCTTAACCTCAAGGATCTATGCTCCAAAGAGACTGAAAGTTCTGACCGTCTTGCACATTGCCCTTTGACCTCTGTGCCTTTCCAGGGCATTCTGTGCTAGGCACGTGCTCTCTACTCCTATCTACCCCCGAAGAGCTGGCTCACCCCTGCCTGCCCTCATCTGCAGGTGAAGCCAGATATAGCAAGAAAATAGAATTCCAATATGAAGTCTGCAAACTCGGGAAAAAGTTTGTGCTATACACATATCTGTGTTAATTCGCAGATTAGAAAAAAAAACCACAGGCTCATTTCTCATGGCTCAGATTCACTAAAGAGAATAAATCAATAAATAATAATACTATTGGACAGCAAAGCATATAACATAAAAATAGCGTGGCTGATGTCAAAATTTATCAGAAAGTACTTACTTTGTTTTAACCATGTCAACAACATAATTTAAATAATCATCAGTCTGAAAAGAAGAAGAAAAATCACTGAAATTAAGGATGTCTTGCGGGTCTTATCAATACAGCACTTTGCTACATGGAATTTGTGTGTGAAACGTCATTGTGACCTAATAATTTCTACACAGTTATGTTAAAGAACACTTACTTGAATACAAAACCTATGGCACACTTCTCTGTGTGTTAAAGTATGGGACACTACATTAATCACACTCAAATTAGTGGGGCCACCCTTACACACCTAAAATGAAACCCCTTGGAATGAGTGTGTGTCTGACACTCACTCTGAGCCCCGTAGCACTCCAGGCACAGACATTTGAAGTACCTTAGCTAATGTCAACCTCACCCCGATTTTACAAGGGAAGTGAGGCACGGAAAAGTTCAAGGAGCTGCCAGGGTCACATGCAGAGTGGCTGTTCCTGGAGGGTGACCACGCAGGTGCAGTCTGTGCTCCTGACTAGCTTGCTGAGTCCTCATGCTGTCGCTCTCTTCAGACACTTGCCTATCTCCTGAGGACAAGTTCCCAGAATTTGAATTTTAAAATGTGATACCTGCTGGCAGCTCCTTCCCCCCAAAGTCTATGATACTAATACACAATTCTATACAGTTTTACTCAAATTTTCAAAATGATAGAGTGATTACCAGTATGGGTTGGGGTGAAAAAAAAAACTGATGTAGCCATCGGGGAGACCTACACCTGAATCTATTAATTACTGGTCAAGATGTCTTCTTTAAGTTCTCATTCTTTCATTCATACCCTTCATCATAGCTCAAGGATTCCTTCCCCGCAATAGGAGGTTTAAAAAAAAGTGTAAGAGCCAGAGGGGATGGAGGACACCAAGAAAACAAGGCCTTCTAAATCCACCCACGTGATCAAAGCTCACAGGAACTCACAGAGACTGAGGCAGCACTCAGACGGCCTGCATGGGTCTGCACCAGGTCCTCTGCCTTTGTCTTTATGGCTTCCAGTTCAGTGTTTTTATGGGACTCCTGAGTGAGAACGAGTGGGTCTCCTGAGTGAGAACGAGTGGGACTCCTGAGTGAGAACGAGTGAGTCTCTGACTCTTGTGCTTTCTCTTGGGCTCTTTTCCTTCTGTTGATTTGACTTGCCCAACTTTAATGTGATAGTTTTTGTTTCATCTTATTATATTTTTATTTTGTTATATATTTTTAAATAAATAAATGAAGGAAAGAAAACCTAGTGACTAGGGTGAAGGTTAACAGCTGAACTGTCCTTTATACTTGCTGGGAAAGGTAAAATCAGTTTTCTCCACTTGAGTGACACTGTGACACTGGGTACATATAAGCCACTCCAGGGCAGGCACCATGTCCAGGAGTAATTGACCAATATATAATGGACTACACAGAGTTTGTGTGTGTGTGTGTGTGTGTGTGTGTGTGTGTGTGTGTGTGTGTGTATGTGTGTGTGTGTGTGCATGCACATGCTTTAATTTGATGTTATTTATTTTGGGGTGGTGGTGTTTTATTCTGTTTTCTTGGGTTGGGGGTTGTTGTTATATTGGCCTTTTGTTCATTTTTTTGAGAAAGAACTTAAAATAGGGTAGGTGTCATGGAGGGGATCTGGAAGGACTTCAGGGAAGGGAAGAATTTGATCCAAATATATTTAATTTAAAATTGCTTTAAATAATAAAAAGGAGGCAGGTGATTTAAAAAAAATAAAATCATGACAGTGGCACATGCTTTACAGAGATGTTTTCCAGGTTATAAATAACGTCTAGAACAATTCTTTGAAATCCCTCAGGCCTAGGAAGGAGCCTTCAATTAACAGTATTTACCAGAACTTAGTAATGCATGTACCAACCTTTTATTAGCTGGGAAGATTTTATCACTACAGTAACAGTTTTAACATTCTATTTGAAATTTACAATTTAAAATTGAGTTATTGAATTTATAATTGAATTGAATAATGTCTGTATTTTACCCAATGTAAGCATCATACGCTAAATGCAATTCGGGCTCTTACATAAGATTCATGTTTACATACATAGTGCTTCTCAGTGGTGCCTGATAAGCACTGAGTATTTCACCTAGACTCTCAAGAGTTTCTGCAGGGTGCTTCCTTTAAGAGAAACACAGAACCATGATGGAATAGTGGGATTTGGAGGCTACAGAGAGAGATGAGAGAACCTCGTTTCCCATACATACGTCGGCGACAGAGACAATCACCACGGAGTCCTTCTCTTCTTCAGGCGTCATCCTGGACAGAATGGACGTCAGCATTTGTTTCAGGTAGGTATGCTTCCTTCTGCCAATGGTGGTGACTCCCAGTGCGAAAGACACTGTAGACAGGAGCACAGACATGGAGCAAGTGTGCCTGACCACCAGACCATGCTTATCCCTGTTCTTGCCAACAAGAGTGCTTTGAACCATACTGCCAAAACACTACACAGTGCTACTCCGTGTCCCGCTTTTCATTTTCGGTTGTCTGTGGTGGACCAGACTCCAAAGCCTTCCTACATTGGAGAGTTCAGTTGTAGAGAAAGTAAAACAAAGCATTTTCCATTTGTTAATACAGCCTTTACCTAGCTGTCTCAGTATACATTGACCCACAATGGCATCTTCTGCCATCCTCTTCCTGAAGGGGTGCTGGAGTCCCCGACTGGAAAGACACTCTGAAACACTGCCATTCATGGAAACCATGAATGAAGTAATTTATAAATGGTTTCATGGAATAAATGTGCACCTCAAATGGCTTTAGGTACTTGTAACAAGTAAAACATCGAGAATCACAGGCCCCACATGATCTAGACAGGAACTAAGATTCTGTGGGCATCTTGTTCACCCTAGTGTCTGGCTGTGTAAATGCCACAGCTGTGGTTTCCCCCACTGTTTATATTTTTTAATATTTAAGTTAGGCAACCTTTATTCTTCATGCCTAATATCTTATAGTTCCTATGTATTTTTTTCCTGTTGCTTTTCAACTTCTACTGTAAACTATAGTACACACACACACACACACACACACACACACACACACACACACACACACAGACTGACCCTCTCACTGGAGCAAACGAGACTTGTGTCAGACAGTCTGAGATTTGACCCAGTGTCTCTGCTTTTAGTTGTAGGGCTGTGTTTTGGTTATACGTGATGAGCCTGAACTCCTGCTTCAAAGCTGAGCTTAAACAGGCCCTCTTCTACATGGAGGGGCGATATATGGCTGCAGCCCCAGTACTCAGGAGGTGGAAGCAAAAGCATTATGAGTTCAAGGTCAGCGTGAGTTACATAGTAAGACCCTATCTAAAAGGAAAAGATCTGAAACCACAAATGAATGAATCACCACCCTCTCTTCCATCTTTTGCTGATATTGGTCGTAAGAAGGTAGAAAGAACAGGAAGATCACCAGGTAACAGCAGGCTTGTCCACCCAAGGAAACCCTTTGCTGGGCATTAGTAGATGCTTCATGTGTACTGGACATATGTCAATTAATTTTCCAAACATCTGTAACGGAAGTGGACTTAAATTCAAGTCACTAAAAAATGGTTATTTTCTTCAAAATTTACACCTAATGGTTAGAAGTCTACGTATTAGTATCTTAAAAACTTCAAACCCAAAAACTTGACCATGAAATCTAGAGGCATTTCTTGAAGGAAGGGGAAGATGGGAACTCAGAAGGGGGAGTATGGACAGGGGAAGGTTGTGAGGAAACAAATATGACCAAACAGAGATGATAAGCACATGCACACACACACACACACACACACACACTGACACACTACATGATACCCACAATGAAACACATATGCACACACACATATCTCACAATGAAACCCATTATTTTGTATGCTAACTGAAATTTTAAGATATAGATTCCCCCAAAGATCAAAATACTTGAACTTAGTTTCCTGATTCTAACTGTTCTTACCGCCTGCTTTCCCTCTGCCAGTGGCTACATCCGGGTAAATTTTCCCCATTTTCCTTAGATGAGGAAGGAAGAACTTTATGTCTTCAAACCCGTTAGGAAGCATTTCATTTCCACTCAATGTGCTCACTTTCCTCTCAACTGGAAGAGAAAGAAAAGAGGCCCCTGAATTCACTGAAATGTGTTTTACATTTTTTTTATTTGTGAGGTAGAGGCGGGGGGCGGGGGGGCCTGCATACCCTAGCATGCATGCGTGTGTGAGCTACCTGCAGGGACCTTACGATGACATATGGTCCCTGAGCTGCAGTCACAGCTCCTCAGGCAGGTGCTGGCAACAGAGCTCTGGCTCTCTGGGGGGAGGAGGGGCACATGACCTTCTGAGCCAGCCCTCCAGCCCAATACAACTTTAAAAAAAATAAGGGCCAGTGAATTCAACAACACAATTAGTACCCAAGGAAACACATGCAAACTTTTGCTGTCATAATTCTGTATGGCATAGCTCAACAGTTATTGACGAGTACCTGTGTTTAAGCCAGTGGTGAATTTCAGCCCAGCACTATGAGCTGCACCAGAAACCAGCAGAACTGCCAGTCCTGGACCAAGGAGCACGGATTAAAAAGTGTGATCCGGGCCCCTCCTACTTTGATTGATGTCAACTTCATTAAAAGTTGTAACTTGATAATTTTTTGTAGCCCCTTAACATTCAGCAACTCTATTCATGCCATTCCTAAATAATCCCTTCTACGGTTTTGAAAACGATAAACCAAGTAGGGTTCGCATTGATAGCCCCAGTGTAGTAGAGATGGTGAGGGAAGAGACGGATGCCTCTCAGACACAGGGCGATGAAGGAGAAGGGTTGCTTGTTGATTGGCCAGATGTATGCAAGAAAAGAGGGACGAGGGATGATGCCAGGGCTTCTGGCTGCTTCTCCTGAATCGCTCATGGATGGTAGAGCTCGGAGAAAACATGGAGAGTCCCCACCACGGCGGAGACAGGGAAAGTGCGTCATCCGTGTGTCTTGCCTGAGCGCTGCACCTCTCTCAATAGGACACCGTGTCAACAGGACTGTTTACTGGGGGGAGGTGACCTAGAATCAGGAGCACCTAAATCTAGGCCTCCAAGTTAACGTAAACATAACCATTCGCAAAGGCAAAAGCGTCACGCACCTACGTTTCCTGACGCGTTTGCTGTCTGGGTAATCTCATGCTTCATTTGATTCAAGACTTGCACTAGATTTTGGTGATTATCTACACTTTTGTTTTTTAAATGTAGCATGTTTTCCTTAAGCCCCAAAATGTGGTTTCTGCAATTAATCAGTTCATGGCCTGCAAAGGAAACAGAAATATCTAGTTTATGCATGTAGTGGGAAAAGGAAGTCTTCCAATAACAAAGGATTGTGTAGCATTATACATGGGATTTGTACATATGTGGCACTCCATATGGGGGCTGTGCGCAGACATAAGTGAACATATATCACAATACACATATAGCATATAGAGATGGCTAAAAGAACAAAATGTTATAGAATAGTCATATGTGGGAAATGATATTATCAATGATTGTTTTCTTTTTTACTTTGTGTTCTATGTTTTCTGAATTTTCCTTTTTTTTTTTTTTTTTTTTTTTTTTTTTGGTTTTTCGAGACAGGGTTTCTCTGTGGCTTTGGAGGCTGTCCTGGAACTAACTCTTGTAGACCAGGCTGGCCTCGAACTCACAGAGATCCACCTGCCTCTGCCTCCCAAGTGCTGGGATTAAAGGCGTGCGCCACCAAAGCCCGGCTTCTGAATTTTCCTTATTATGTATATATTCAACAGAGAAAACTCATTGACCTCCCTGTAAATGGATGCTTAAGAATTTGTCTGTGGAAAAATGAACAGAGAGCCGAGAATGTTGCTGAGTGGGGCTTGCCTAGCATGCGCCGGGCTCTGGATTCCAGGCCCAGCATCGCCAGGGCAAACAAATATCTAAAAAGAAAGCCCAGTGCCCAGGAACACACACTGGTTGGGTCTGAGGATCCTCAACACTGGCAGGCACAGAAGCTGGTTAAGGGGGAGGAGATGGCTTAGCTAGCGAGGAGGGAAAACATCCCAGGCACCCTGTGAGGAGAGCGCCTCATGTTGACTAGTGTCTTATGTAGGGTGACTATTGCAACCTGGGGAGGAAAGGGCTTCTTTGGTTTGTGCTTTCACGTTGCTGTCCATCATCAAAGGAAGCCAGGACAGGAACTCAAGCCGGGCAGGAGCCTGGGGTCGGGAGCTGATGCAGAGGCCACGGAGGGGCGCTGCTTACTGACTTGCTTCCCACGGCTTGCTCAGCCTGCTTTCTTATACAACCCAGGACCACCAGCCCAAGGATGACTCCACCCACAGTGGGGCTGGGCCCTCCCCCATCAACCACTAATTAAGAAAACTCTCTGCAGCCAGTTCTTATGAAGGCATTTCCCTGAGGTTCCCTTCTCTCAAATGACTTTAGCTGGGTCAAGTTGACGTAAACTATTCAGTACACTGGGAGTCAATCAGATGTTGACAGATGGACTGGAGTGGGCCCCGACTCTCCGTGAGGAGATGGAGGTGAACACAGTACTGTGGACTCAGAGATAGCAGAAGGGGAAATATGACAGGAAGTACGGACAGCCCTCTCCGGGAATTTCTTTCCTTAAGAGAAAGTTTTAGAAGCTAGTGTGCATGTGTGTGTGCGTGTGACTCTGCTTTTCACTTTTCTTTAAGGGGAGAAGACCAGCTTTTGTGTGCTGATGGATATGACCCAGGAAAGACGGGACAAGTGATGAAGCGTGTGAAAACAGACAAGAGGCCTGAGCCCTTGCATTGTCTGCCTGCCTCTGCCTCCCAAACACTGGGATTACAGGTGTGTGCCACCACCGCCTGGCTGACGCTCTCTTTTTAATGTTTGTGTTTCTCAGTGAAATATCAAGCCTGCTATGCTCTGAGAATGGAGGCTACAAGAGAATGAAGGAGAAAGTAATTTTCTAAAAAGATAGAAAAGTGACATGTGATATGATCTTAAAGACACAGCGGGTGTGCTGGTGAGCTTTTATTATCAACTGGATACACCCTAAAGCTGTCTGAAAGAGGAATGGCCTAGATAAGATGGACCTGTGGGCATGTGTTGTGGGATTCCCGCCTGGGTCCCGTTGTCACTTTCACCCCTAAATAACACCCCTAGTTACATTATAGTAACTATGAAGCTGCTGGCCATTTGTTATGGTTTTTAATCAGCTAGCTCTGACTTAATCATTAACCCATTATCACCAATATATATTTTTATAAGGTCTTATCTTTCCAAGAATGCAGACTTGCATCCTCTTCCTGGGGAGATCACATGGCAACGACTCTCTTCACTACCTTTCCCAGAATCCTCCTAGACTCCTAGTCCCACCTGTCTTGCTTCCCTATTGGACAACAGTGATTTATTTATACCAATCAAACATATACACACAAGGACTGCCCCCATCATCTCCTCTTTTCTGTCTAAATAAAAAGAAAGGTTTTGACTTTATCATAGTTATAACAGAACTATGGTTACAATATTTGTCCATTAACATTTAGTAGAGTTAAAAAAGTATTTTATTTAAAGTATCCTATCAGTGTGAGTCTAAAGTCTTATATGTAACTTATCTTTTATCATAACCAAGAAAAACAATAACTATCTGTCTTCAACTCCATCAAAGACCACAGAAGGATAATATATAAACACTAGAATTGACAGAGACATCTCACTACCTAGAGAGTCACCTGAATTTTCTCTGTAACGTTGGGGCATCTCAGCAAAGCAGGGAATTTTAAACTGTCCATCTGCATTGGCAGTCTGTCAGTCATTTTTCTGTGTCCTGCAGAATGTCTGGCAGACTCTTCTGTGAAGCAGGAACCCTGTAGGACTGTCCAAGTTTAGCAGTCACTTTCCTGTGGGTCCTGTATGTCCAGTTTATACAACAACAGTCAAGCAGTCCAGGCAAGAGCAGTTTCTTGCTCAAATGACTAATCTCGCCATGTTGAAGGCAAACTCCATAATGAGTTTCTATGATGCCCATCTTCCTCTCAGACATAATTGGTTTTGTCAGGAGCAGTTGTATCTCACGATCATGAAAAACCCTAAACCATTTAAATGCCATTTTTCTGAAGGTTTTTGAAAGGTTTGAAGACTACCTATATATCTCAAATATATCTTTGTATATTTAGAAAGCCTAGCTAACCCAAGTATAAGTTCTGACTATTATAAGTAACTATCGCCGGGCGTTGGTGGTGCACGCCTTTAATCCCAGCACTTGGGAGGCAGAGGCAGGCGGATCTCTGTGAGTCCAGGTCAGCCTGGTCTACAGAGCAAGTTCCAGGACAGCCTCCATAACAATACAGAGAAACCCTGTCTCAAAAAAACAAAAAATAAAAATAAAATAAAATAAGTAACTATCTATAATCTGTATTTAATTATGCATTACATTTTAAAAGATCAGTATGAACACAATACTTAAGCAAGAGGAGAAATATACATATCACAAAATTGACCTTAAATTTGTATCAATAAATGATTATCCATTCTAAGACAAAGTATTCATTTCTATACCATATTTTCTTTCTCGAAAGAGATCGACTGTGATTATTACCATTTATAAGTAACCCTGTATAAATGAAAATAAACATTTAAACAATTTGGGCATTGCTTATTCCAAACTGCTTCTTGCTGGATGGGGCCGCTGTCCATACTATGGGGATCATGACAAAACACAGAAAACTGTATTAAGTCTTTGTTTTTGTAGTCTGTAAGGCTGTATCATCTCAGCTGTTTTAGATGTTGGATCACCTGGGCCACTGGTTTTTTTTGGGGGGGGATGTCTTGGTTTATTAAACCATATAAATCTGGAAGAAATCTATGGCTTTTCAATTTCTGTGGAAACATAAATAAAACCTCTTTTTCCAAGTAACCTGTCTTTATGTTTAAATTTAGAAGTCAAGGCATTTTTAAAATATGTAAGTTGGATTAATTTATAATCAAGTATATTTCAGCAGTTGTTCCTTCGTTAGCCATTGAACAACTGAAAAACACAATAGCATACAGTATCCAGACTCTCTGTGTATTTTCCATCTTTACGTGGCTTTTTTACTCTATTTTATTTATTTTTTCTCTGAGACGGGGTTTCTCTGTGGAAATCCGCCTGCCTCTGCCTCTGGAGTGCTGGGATTAAAGGTGTGTGTGCCACCACCGCCCGGCCATTCTCTCTTTCTTTTTCAAACCACTTTATCTTGTTTTTCTCTCACAAGCCTGGTATATTTTTAAACACACTGTAAGCCTTTTAGAGGTTTTACTGCATCTGAATGTCTTCGCTGTAAATCTTTATGTTTTTCTGGCCGCGTGTCTGTTTTCTGATAAATAACATTGCTAAAGTTAGAGTGGAAACAGCCGCTGGCTTCCCAACATGGTGGGGGGTGAGTTTGCCTCCTTAGCCTGTGCCACCATCAAGCAGCCTGCTGCCAGCTTGGAGATGTAGTCACTGCCACGGCCAGCTGCTCGTACATACCATTCTTGTTTGGTCCTGGGGCCTCTTTAAAGAACCCTGCGGTTTTTCTGTTTATGCTGAGTCAGGAAACCTCCCTTAAAGGAGCCGAGTGAGTTTCTGTTTTGTCTGTAGTAAAACAGAGCCCACCTGAGAAAAATGCTGCTACCAAGAAGCTGTGTTTGCCTCTATTTTTTTTTATTGTAAAATCCCTTTTAAAGCTTTTGTCACATTTTTAAGTGGAAGTATTTAATACCTACGTTGTTGGCACCATATTGTGGGATTCCTGCCTGGGTCCCGTTGTCGGTTTTACCCCCAAATAACACACAGCACACTATAGTAATTATGAAGCTATTGGCCATTTGTTATGGTTTTTAATCAGCTAGCTCTGACATAATCATTAGCCCATAATCACCAATATGTATTTTTATAAGGTCTTATCTTACCGAGAACGCAGACTTGTGTCCTCTTCCTGGGGAGATCACATGGCGATGACTCTCTTCACTGCCTTTCCCAGAATCCTCCTAGACTCTTAGTCCCACCTATCTTGCTTCCCCATTGGCCAAAAGTGCTTTGTTTATACCAGTAAAACATATAAACAAAGGCCTGCCCCCCACAGGCAAGTCTTCAGGAAGTCATTTTGATTACTAACAGATGCAGGAGGAGCGCTGCTCACTGTGGGAGGAATGGTTACCTGGCCGGGTAATAAAGCTAGGTGAGAATGGGTCTGGGGATGACCCAGTCAGCAGGCAGCATCCTGCATGATCCCTGCTGCGCTTCCTTGGCTGTGAGTCCCTGGAGTCAAAGTAATGCTACATG